AATAATGCATAAGATTTTTCTTAAAGAGTTCAAGACTTGGAATTGAAATTACCCTTATATCACAGAAGAATGAATAATCAATAAGTAAGTGAGAATTTAAAAAGGCAGCATTTTTATTTGCATGAGCACCACGTTGTCCCCTTATATCACAGAAGAATGAATAACTTAATCAATAAATAAGTGAGAATTTAAAAAGGCAGCATTTTTATTTGCATGAGCACCACGTTGTCCCCTTATATCACAGAAGAATGAATAACTTAATCAATAAATAAGTGAGAATTTAAAAAGGCAGCATTTTTATTTGCATGAGCACCACGTTGTCCCCTTATATCACAGAAGAATGAATAACTTAATCAATAAATAAGTGAGAATTTAAAAAGGCAGCATTTTTATTTGCATGAGCACCACGTTGTCCCCTTATATCACAGAAGAATGAATAACTTAATCAATAAATAAGAAATTCAGAACAGAATCTGAAACTGGTCTATGTATAAAATACCCCCGCCGCAGCAAACCTGCAGACTAAGCGAATTTCCATTTGCCTGATTGGATTTACACTAAAATGTCTCCTTAAAAATATCACATTTATTCCCTATTTAAATAGAATCAGTTTAACACATACTTAGGTTTGCTGCAACAGGGAGTGTTTTTTTATGTAAAATGTTAATAGTTAGTAAGAAATTAAAACATTTTCCAAATTTGGGCAAAATATGTTAATAAACAAGCAAACTACAACAGTTTACTTATTCTCCATAAGAATAACATGGGAATTTTAAATTAACAATTTCTCCGTAACCATTAGGCGCATTAACGCTTCAATATACTAAATTATTTGTTTTTTAAGCTCTACAAAATAGTTTGGAAAAAAATTACAAAATTTTATGTTTTTTGGGTCAAAAATTAGAAAACCCCATTTTTACCCCATAAAAGCCCCCATAAACCCCCGTTCCCATGGTCCGATCATGCTGGTTCGCGAACTCGTTCAAATAAACGTAGGTTTACACGTTTGTACCAAATTTCATCAAAATCAGATCATTTTTGCTTGAGTTATCGCGCTAACGGACACATATATATATATATATAAATATATATATATATAAATATATATATATATAAATATATATATATATGAATTAGAACGGATGGTGTTTTTGGCCTCTAGGGACCTCAAAACGAAAAAAAAAATCGGTCCTGGGTCCAGGTCTTACCATGAGTACTACGGTAATAGCTTATTCCCTATATGGGAAATTCGCTAAAAGAAGTCAAACATGGCCAAAGCAGAAGGCATTGAACGGAAACTAGTTCAGAATTCTTTGATAAACGTTTGTGGCTTTACAGTGTAGTTTAAGTTTAAGTCCACAGTAGGAAAGAATGTGCACAATCATGTCAGTTGCGCAAGAGACAAGGGTCTGAGTTTATAATTGCCAATTAAAACTGAAAATTACACTATTTTGATGCAACGTTAAAATGAATCATTGTAAACACTGCCAAATATCAATAGAAGCCTCCATTCATTATTTGGACCAGTTTCTAATGTGTTTTAAATTTATTTACTAACAGGCTGGAGTAGTTAACGACACTCAAAGTAAAAAGTTCATTCAATACACTACATTCAGTAAACTATACCACAATTTCGTTTCCGTGACAACTGCTACAAATGTTTTATCTAACTACAGTTACGTCATAAAATAATTAATTTCATAGATTACATATTTGATAATTTTATAAAAGTAACTAAAGTAGTGGTTGGTAATTTATTTGATTGATTATTTTGTAAATATGTCGCACTTATTTCAAGGAGAGATGCTATCACAAATAAGTTATTAATCAAGTGTTTTGTTTTTCTTTAGTATCGGGATGAAACAATGGTCATATAGCTACTAATAAACAAATATGTTTTCGTTTTTGTAATTTTTCAAATTTCAAAAATATTTTCAAAACATTTTGTAACTTTTTAGTTACCTTGTCGTTCTAAGAAAGCTTTAATCTCAAATGAAAAGTTTTGAAAATCGCCCTCACCTTTCATATATATTCAGTGATTGATAATTTTAAAATAAACTAATTTTAATGATTTAATAATTGTTATTACAAAAATATTTAAGTAGTATGCAAACTAAAGATTGAGAAATACTTGAGTAAGTCCTAGAGTTTCAAAGACAGTTTGAATTTGATAGTTTAGACATTCATTTTAAGCCTTAGTGATAACATTGATAAGTGAGGTCAAGGTCAACATTTCTCCTTGTGTGTGTTTTTTAGAAGAAGATAAAGCGGTTATATTAATTAGAAATATTATCAGTGTTTAGCTAGCATTGGTAAAAAACCTTATCGGATTTCGCAAGACCATGCTTGAGAGTGTAAATTTTAAGCTTGAGTTAGTGTTTCAATCGATTTTGCTCAAATTTAGTACGTCATGGTCCTTAACTCTAATCAAAATGGTAAACCCACAATGCTATGAAAAAATTACGTTTCAAAGGCTACTGCAATTTTTGTGATTTTATCCATACAATATCAATCCCACCTCTTCCCCGTAAGTGTTGTTGACAAACTAACTGCAAAATATGCTGATAAAGTTTATTGAAAATTGATCTTTTAATTGAAACCTGTACTACAAATATTGTTCTAGGTACAAATTATCACCGAAAGTGAAAGTCTTTCAATATTACAGTATACGCAGATGTCTATTAAGCCAGTTTGTTTACATTTTACTGATAGGTGGTTTGTTTGGTTTCGCAAGTGAAAACAGCACGTCATTTTTGGCAGCTGCTCCGACTTTATTTCCGTTCTAGCCTTCACCTTAGGAATGTATTGCCAATTATATTTGCACAATCCAACTTCTAATTGATTCTATATCGGTCTTTGGTGCTATATATAACGTTTGATAGGAATTTGTCGACAAATGTATTCCATGTCAAAGCTCTTGATTTTTTAACAAGGAATGTTTGCTAATGCAAAATGTTTTGTTATAATTAAAATACGAAAATTATTGGATCAATTCATCGTCACTTTATAAGCTAAACTTTAAAGTTATCCCTTAATTGAGTTTAATCAATATCTTTACAAATAATTACCCATTCATTTATGAAACATTCTAAATGCACGGACAATTTTTGACGGGTTTTACTGAAATTACTTTGTAGATACATGGTATGAAATTAAGACTATGTTGTGGATTTAGCTTTTATGGTTTACAAATATCCACTCTCTTTACCCCATGGATTACCAGAGTTCCAAAAGTCATTAATGAAAAAATGCGGACATTTTCTATTCACTAGTAAAAACAGGTTGGTTTAGTATGATTCAGTGTTTTGATTTTTGTACGTAGTCAACTGCAAAATGTGAACGTATGCCAAGTGTCCACCCAACAGTGAAAAATTAAAGCAATTGTTTACCAAGCTCTAATTTAATGCAAGGGGAACCCGATCAGCTGATTTCCCTAGATATAAATTTACTTTCCCTTGATCATAAGTTCTCAATTTTGCCACGCTATTGGTTGTTAACAATTTATTTCTATTATTAAAATCAGCTGTTTCTGTTCAACAATACAAATGAGAACATGAATATGCATAAGCTAATTTTGCTGTGTTTAGCTTGTAGTATTTACTGCACAATAAAAATATAATTGAACTTGAACTTCTAATTTTAGGTTGTTATGTAGGTTTGCTATAACCAATTCGCTTTTTTATCATAAAATAATTGTAGCCTATATAGGGAATAATATAATAGTTTTATTTTTTACGTTTGTTATTCAATATAACGATGAGTATCGTGCACAACTTGTACCAAAAGTGATTTCTGATACTTGTTCCAAAAACTCTCATTCTCAGCTTCGCCTCGTACGTGAAAATACCTCTCACGTGCTTTGGCTTCGCATCGTACGAGAAATTTTGTGTTACTATGTCGAATTTGCCTCAGACATAAAACTTGTTCGCACACCGGAAAATTCCACTTTCGGTACAACCAATGAAATACGGTACTATTTACGTTACATGTAACGTCTTCAGCGTTCACAACTGATTGTAAACAAAATAGTGGCCTTAGGTAAGGAAAGGAAAATTACTCATCTTGTCTGTGGCCAATAGCCATACCCTACACCAACATTGGTCTTGTAGCCGAGTTATAGGTCCTTAACCTTGAATTGATTGTTATTCCACCAGAGGCACCTGGCAATGTCAACTCACGCCTGGTAATGTTGTTTGGGCCATTAAGACTGCTGCCCCTATAGCACAATCATCACTCGGATCTCAGATCCGGAAAGAATTCTGAAAATAAAAATAACCACAAAAAATGTTAGATATTTAATGTTCTTGGTAATTATGTGTGTTTGAAAGTGTACAAGCATTATAGATCATATAGTGAGATTATGACTATGATAATATATTTAGGTGTTTCACAGTAAAAATTGCTAGTTTGCAAGCCATTAAAGAAACATGTGAACTTTATAAAATGTATTAGTTACAACCAGTCTACTGATACTTTTGCTATAGATTCTAGAGCGTATAAAATCTTGTTCATTTTACTCATAGTGTGTAAACATTACAGTAACAAATAAACATTTCTAATACAATACTTAGTTGAAATAGGTCACTTATGAGTTAAACAATTACTACTTTTGAGTTTATAAGGGATATGGATTTCCAAAGGCAGCATGGTATAATTGTGAGGGGAGTTTGGAAATCTTTGTGACTTTGGTTGTGACAATTTTCAGATTTGATTAAAACAGAACTGCCTCGGAGAAAAATATCTTCATGCAATAATTAAATGAGTTATGTGTTAACAAGTAAAAAAAACACGATTTTATATAGAAAAAACACTCATAAAAGACAAGATCTATATAAAAAACAAAAAGAGTCTCTTCAGGCAGATGATCTGCGATTTCCCTTCACAAAAAAACAGTACTGATAAAAAGCAATACTTTGGAGATTTAATTATTTGTCAGTTGTTGGATGGTTGGATGAGTACTGTACTGTTGTTGTTGTTGAACACCTGTATATGACTTGCAGATGCGGTAAGCAGCAGACATGGCGGGAGTGACAGGAATGACTCGGTCGCTACGTCAGCAGATGAAGTCTCGCTTCATCAACTGGTCTCTGACACACGTGCGAGCCCAGTCTACAGTGCAGCCTCCAGGGTAAATCCTTAACTTGTTACTTGTTACTTGTGGGTGTTCGCCTCCGCTGTCCTTAAGAAAGGGGGCTCATCCAGATTTATTTCTGTTCTTCATATCATCTGACTTATACCGTTGATTATACACATTACACAGGGTGTCCTGGGGCAAACGGCAAAACACCTGAAAAAGGATTCTGTGGGTTAAAATTAAAAAGAAAAAAAGAAAACACTTCTTTAACCAGATATTCACCATTTTTTTTCATAAATATTATCTTTTAGAAATCTTCCAAGTGATGTTCATGAAACTTAGTAAATAATTTAAAGTAGGAGAGTACTATACAATAATTGAAGTTGGTCCAATTCGGAATTAAGAAATTATGGCCATTTAAATTTTTTTAATTACAAAAAAAATTGGATTTTATGAAAAAAGTGTCAAGAACACCTTTATGAAATAGAAATCGCTGAAATGACGATTTTCAATTATAAAATAAGGCATGGTATACATTAATGGTGAATATTCAGGGATGATTACTTGCTCAAAACCTCTAAAGTACAAAAAACTCAAAATTCCATGCTACTGTAATGTTACCCCTAGAAATTACAAATGTGAACTCTGTGGGAATTTGGATAACACACCAAGAAATGTATTTAAAAACTCTTTTTAATTGCGCACAGGAATTCTTTTTAGAATGCTACAAAAGTTTGTGTTTTGCAACTATAGATTTCCATGTAGGGAAATGATCTGACACACATTGCTGCACATGAATGAATGTAGCATCACTCACACTTACATTTGCCAGATTTAGCTAAAAGAATGTTTAATACTTTAATTATTTTCATTGAAATGGCGACCTTACAACGCATTTCAAACATACACAACTGCCACGATTATAACTTATTGTTTGTGTTGTATATTTACAGGTACAAACAGTCTCAGAGAGGACAAGCAACACAAGTTGCAATAAAAGAACCTCCTCGAACAGAGGTCGAGTACAAGCCAATCAGAAGTCTGCTCGTCGCAAACAGAGGTTGGTATATCGGTATAATTTTTTACTTGCTCAGACGTGCAGTTAGACTAGAGTATCTTCATCCTTATTTTGTAAACATAATGCTACAGAATTGAATAATCAAATCTCAAAAAAGTCAACTAATCCACAAGGATTTTCAAAGTAAAACGTTTACAGTGGTGTGACAGATGGTAAAACCAAAGGCCAATTTGATGGAACTGAAACCAACTTGTTGCATACTACTCCTGTTCATCTTACACTATCAGTCTAACTACCTGTTCCTCAGATAATTATATTTAGAACAACAAATCCGTAAAACAATCATCTGAATATGATAATCATTTTTCATTATTAATTGGGATATTTTGTAAACTGTCTACCGTATTCCAAGGGTCCTCTCTTAAATGAGCTCTATACCTATCCTCCATTAAAAATTATGTTCACCAGATGTTACCTTAGAAAATAGCAGTACATTCTTTAATCACAGTGGCAAAATTTGTCATAGTTACAGAAATATCTAATGGGGGTATATGGAGAAATGAGCTGATGTTACATTAGAAATAATCTAGCGCCGTATATGTTCCTCTAAAAAACCTGTTGTAGATCCCAACGTATCAACAACATCTCGAGACACACGAAATTGCTTTATCCTCTAAAGTCTTTTAGTTTTAAACCACACTTTGAAACGTGTTCTGTCTGTATCTTCGGATCCAAGGTAAACAACCATTACATCCTTCCTAACAGTGAAATATGTTCACAGGAGAGATCGCTATCCGAGTGTTCCGAGCATGTACAGAGCTGGGTATCCGATCCGTGGCAATCTATTCGGAGCAAGACAAGATGCACATGCACAGACAGAAGGCGGACGAAGCCTACCTCATTGGCAAAGGAGGGCCTCCTGTGGCAGCTTACCTGAACATTCCTGAGATTATCAGGGTCGCCAAAGTGAGTTTCATCATTTTCACTAGCTTTCGAGGTTCTTAGATACAATTTAATTATTTTTTGACTAATTTAGTGTAAAAGGGAAAAGTTGTAAAAGGTGTGGTTTATTGGTTGTTGTCACTGGTATTGACGAAATAGTGGTATTCTCTGAGTGAATATTTCAGTTGTAACGTTAGTATTTTAAGATTTTTGAAATTTCACAATCGATTCTTTAACTAAAGAATCAAGCCATAACCAAATATTTCAAGTGAATGTTGAGATGAGATTGAAAAAGAAGTTGTTGAACACTGTGTTTGCTGTTTGTGTTACTATAAGTCCTCCCTTATTGCCTGATGGTGAAATGGGTTAAAAATTTAAGTTAAGTAGAATCATGTATGGATTTTGTACTCAACTGAACTTACCGTAATCAACTTAATCTCAAAATTACACATGCCAACTAGAGAAAAAACAAACTTGGCGTATCAAAGATTGATATTTAATTAGATCAGTATATGGGTCATGTAGACCACTCTAACTTTCAACCAATAGATAAGTGTATTTTTCCTTCAGTGGTAGTGAACCAAAATCACCATCAATTACCGACTAGCCCATTTAACACCATATGCACACATCATTAAAACCCCCTTCTTGGATAAACCCATTCTCATTTACCTTCAGTTTTACATTTTTATGCTAAACTTTGTATTTTATTTCCAGGAAAACGACGTGGATGCCATCCATCCAGGTTATGGTTTCCTCTCAGAACGGTCAGACTTCGCCCAAGCCGTGATTGACGCAGGAATCCGATTCATCGGTCCGTCACCCTTCGTCGTTCAACAGATGGGTGACAAAGTCGCTGCTAGACAAGCCGCTATAGCTGCAGGCAAGTTCTGTGGAAAGACATTGTTTTAGTGTTTGTAAAAGTTTAAATGCACACAAGAATACTATTTTAACTCTTGAGTATACACTCATACAACTTCCTATGCAGATTCAAAGCTGCAGCTAAATTTCTTAAAAAAATGTGATATTTCAATCCAGAGAGCCGAAACCCAAGACTGGGGCTGCTATAGGACCAGGTCCTCTTCAGCCTTGGACAATCTTTAGTATTAGGCTAGCAACACACACCCGAGCATATTTACCAATCACCAGTTCAAGCTTAATATTCCTCCCAAGATACACATTTATCACCCTCAATCTTCTGTTGTACAGGAGTGCCGATTGTCCCTGGTACAGACGGTCCAGTCACTACATCTGATGAGGCTATGGAGTTCTGTCTGAAGCATGGTCTCCCTGTCATATTCAAGGCAGCCTACGGAGGTGGTGGCCGTGGTATGAGAGTCGTTCGGAAGATGGAGGTTAGTGTTACTTGCTGTATAAATATGTGTCTATTGAAATCCTTAATGATGATGGTTCTGATCAGGCGAATTCTTAGTATCCGTTGTGCTTACGTTTACTATGTGTTTGTTCGTTTAGTTCCATCTAGATGGAACAAGACGGAGAGTGGTGTTTTTCAATTTAAAATTCACAGATTAATAAAATTCACATAAACATTCATATGGTGTATGTTTCAAATGAATTGATTCTCTAACTGCTAGTCTCATCCTCTCTGGAAAGAGTTCTTCAAACGTCAAAATGTCACCTGGAGGGATTCTGTGTGAGTCGCTATCGAATCCTCACTCATTTTCTAGGTGTAACATCTTTGTTGAAATTACTAATAACCCCTTAATTATGTAATTTAAAACTCAAATATAAACCAATCTAGTTATTTACATAGTATTTACTGATAATATTGTACAACCACTATTTAAAGGTTAAAATACATTTTGTCCTTTTAAAAATTCCTTTGATTCAACAGGAAGTCAAAGAGAACTTTGAGAGAGCCAGTTCTGAGGCCGCGACTGCCTTTGGTAACGGAGCCATGTTCATTGAGAGGTTCATCGAGCGTCCTCGTCATATTGAGGTCCAGCTGATGGGAGACAAGGCTGGTAATGTGATCCATCTGCACGAGAGAGACTGCTCCGTCCAGAGAAGACATCAGAAGGTTGTAGAAATTGCACCGGCTCCGCTGCTTGATGACAAGGTTCGTGTCTAGATTTGAAACCGTATAAGTTTCAACGGAAGATAAATATTCTTGCACTGCAGCCTATTACATTCTGACAACAGTTTGAACCAATGTAGAAAGTAGTCCTTTATTATTCTGTATAATATGAGTGAAGTATTCAAAAGTAAAAATGTTATTCTTTAAAATCAACACTTACGTAAAAGTCTGATATTTGAGTGGCACAGAGACACCATTAAGTTATAAAAGCTCTGTGTATTCCTGATCTACTGGCCAAATTACTTATCTTATTGTAACTAGACCGAAACGTATGCTTTGGACGATTATTTTACTCGGATAGGAAGCATTTGGGATTCCCGTAATCCCAATATGTAAGCATTTAGCCTTTTTGGCAATGGAAATATAAAGGAGAGGGTGTGCAATAAAGGCTTTTGGGAGGAGATCAACACCCCTTCAGAAATACAGATAATTGGTTTTAGAGAAAAGATCACTTGGTTTAGGAATGCCACAACTTAGATAGATTGATGCCATTGACAGCACACAAAAGGTTAACAATACAATTAATTTTATAACTAATCCTCATGAGGGATCATTTTCAGAATGAGGTCAGGCTAGCTTCTTTCATTCCTTCTTTCTTAACTTCAGAAATGAAATGTAAACAAACTTTAAATATTCTTAATTTTGCTTTTCAGGTGAAAAATGCCATGTTTGATAATGCTACCAATCTGGCCAGACATGTTGGATATTCAAATGCAGGGACTGTGGAGTTCTTGGCTGATAACCATGGAGGCTTTTACTTTATTGAAGTCAACGCTCGTCTCCAAGTAGAGCACACTGTTACTGAAGAAATCACTGGGTCAGTACTGACTAAAATTGTTATAACTCACATCCTAACAACTGAAATAGGCAACAACAGTATAACTAACAGCAATAATTTGTTTTAAATTCATTGTTGGTGATGGTGAGTTAATATTGTTCAAAGGACATTTTCCATCACGATGGTAAAAAAAAAGAACAATACTCATCGTTTTGGGATCTAGAATCTGACCCCGTCCTCAGGTGAATTTTTTTTTACCATCGTGATTGAAAATATCTGCAATAAACCTTTGAACACCATTAACAGCAATACTAAAACATTTTGGACATTCAGTAACCATATTTCATTTTACATTCACATTTGGGTAACATTGATCTATTATGATTTAAAGTAGACATACCGTATATATTCTATATCAAACATGCTTTATCTCTTGGTTAAAGTCATAGTTTATTTCCTTGGAGTAAAAATACTTTATATTTTACATTTATTACAGACATTAAATATGATGGAAATAGAGTTGGCGTTGGGAAGTCCATTCTGCTTGTTAAATAAAACCACTGGAATCACTGTCAAAATATGATAAAAAAAGAGTTAATGCCTTTTTATCTGGAACCTTAAAAAAGATAGAGCAATTATAATTGATTTGTACTTGTTCTTTTTTTTCAATCTACTGTACCATTCTAACTGTTTTAATAATCGTAACAATTAGACACTCACTTCCTTGGTTTTGCATAGTGTGGACCTGGTACAGACTCAGATCCGAGTGGCCGAGGGCATGACTCTACCTGAGTTAGGACTCACCCAGGACAAGATAAAACCACAAGGATATGCTATCCAATGTCGTGTGACCACCGAGGATCCTGCCAAGGGATTCCAGCCTGATACCGGTCGAATTGAGGTGAGTTCGTTGAATAATAATGACAAACTGTTTTTAATTTACAACTATCTTTTTACATGTAAAGTATAAAGGGTTTGTGATCTCCTGGATTTGTTGTGACTGGATTTAGTTTTAAGCTATTAAAAATAGATGGGGCCCTGTGATATATTGCATACTGTTTACGTCTCACACTGCAGGACTTAACTTTCTACAAAACCTTTAGTCTTGATTTATGGGTTTCTTTCATCAAATAATTATCATAAAGTATTCACAACCAAGGGTCGATTATTTCCTTAAGGGTTCTCCTCACCCTATTGCCACAAAACTACAATTTTATTGTCAAACTTTATCACATACTATGATATTTTGGTTAGTCGTTAATGACAAGTTTACACTGTCTGTGATTCTAACATTACCCTACGTTCCAGGTGTTCCGTAGTGGTGAAGGTATGGGCATTCGATTGGACGGAGCTTCTGCCTTTGCTGGTGCCATCATCTCGCCATACTACGACTCTCTGCTGGTCAAGGTATAAAAATAACATTTTCACAAAACATCTTCTTATTAAGACATTACGAGAGGTCGTCCAGTGGTCGAAACTCGACCAAAAATATGTAATGTACTCACTTCTCTATTTTCACCCCACACTGTAAATAAAACATGTGATTGGAGTTTCTTCCATTTGTTTTGATTTTCTGTTTATATTTCGTTGTTATTTCGTCACCAGCATGGCAACGCATAAGATCCATGTTAATTTTTTCAAATTTTTAAACTCATTTTTTGTGCTTATCTTTGAGCCTATTTAAATTTATAAAGGGATTCTGCACACCTACAGGAAAATTGCTTTTTAACGGTATGCGCAGATTTACCCCACGATGCACACAAGCTGAGAAAAAAGGTTTTAAAGAAACATGCTTGCCTATTAATATATAGATAGATAACTTTTATCGATTGCACACAAAATTAATATGCATACTGAACTTAGTTTTTTAAATCTTCAAATAATTTCTCTAAATAGTTAATAGTTTCACATACTATACTTACTATCTAGTCCTTTTATTGTGTTAGTTTACGATCCCTGTTCAATGGCATTTCTAGATAGGGTTCACTAGTTATATTTCTTCAGGTAAAATTTAATCTTTCCGACAAGCATGACACTGAGGGTAAAAGGTTTCTGTTCTTGCAGGTAATCGCTCACGCAGCCGATCTACAAGCCTCGTGCGCCAAGATGAGTCGGGCTCTGCGAGAGTTCAGAGTGAGAGGAGTCAAGGTGAGTTGAAAATAAGCAAAATATTACAAACTATTCCAGTGTGTCTTCAATGCAAATTATTTATATGTCAATCCTGCATAACGTGCAGGTAATACAGATTGGCTGGTCATCAACATCCATTTAAATTCTGAGTAATTCCCTCTTGAAGCCCCATTAAATGTTTCTTTTCTCCTTTTATAAAAACATTTGAAGTGTTTTTGTGTCATCATGAAATCTCTGAAAACGTTTAAACTTTGAATGAGTAATCTGGTGTTTACTCCTGTTAGTAAAGGTTGATACAAATCTAGTTTGCTTGACGTTAAAATCTGATAAAGTAAAGTGGATTTTTGGTTGAATTACTTTGTTTTTTAACCTAAATTTGGGTTTGTATGTTTGTGAGTTGGTGTATTATGGTACAAGTTATATAAAATTTAAAACCCCTCCAAGTGTTGTGAATCTAATAAAACCGTACAGTCTCCTTTGTTTGCTAAAAAAACCATATATGCAAAAACAGCAAAGAATTCATACCACCCAAATAAATTACAACTACCTTTACCTTTACGAGCTTTACTTATTTTATCTTTTAGCATTGAGTTTAAGTCAGAATCACCCATTTGAATAAAGAAAAAGAAATTTTATCCTTTGTGAATATATTACATTAGACTCCCTCTTATCCGGATTCCTTGGGACCGAAGCCAGTCTGGATAACGGTTTTTTTCCGGTTAAACCGACGATCCTAAAAACTTGTTAAAACGGACCATTTGAATGCATACTGTATAAGCCAATAATGATTATTACGTATTTTGACACCTGATCACTGGTCTTAAAACATTCCCACGAGAACAGTCGTTTCAGTACCGCCCACTTCCTGCCAAACTGGTCCGGTTAAACCGATGTGCTAATAAAAATTGTCCAGTTAAAGAGTTGTCATTTCCGCCGAGTGTAGTCCAGTTTAATAATGTATGGTTAAAAGGTGTCCAGATAAGAGGGAGTCTGTTGTACACTGATATTTATAGAAATTAACTAAATCAATTCAATCCTGATTTCAGACAAACATTCCATTTCTGCTGAATGTGTTGGAGAACCAAAAGTTTGTCAATGGAACTGTTGACACTTACTTCATCGACGAGAACCCCCAGCTTTTTGCTATGAAGCCTTCACAAAACCGTGCGCAGAAGTTGTTGAACTACTTGGCAACTGTTTTGGTCAACGGGCCTTCAACGCCTCTCGCTACCAGCTTGAAGCCTGCGGAAGTAAACCCACCAATTCCGGAACTGGGGATAGGTAATCTTCTGATTCATTATACTTAGCCTACCTAGCAACTGGTGGAGGCTTTTGCTTTTTCACCTTTTTCTTCGTTCAATCATATTGGTGTGCTTGATTTTGCACTAATAGACATAGGCGTTAAGTAACTGATCAAATTTCAAAACCTCCAAAGTTTATACAATTTTTTTTCAAAGCAGAGAATGAGTTTATTAAGAAGGTGGAACAAGTTTGAAAACGTAAAAATACATTTTATACATTTATATTTGGTAATTCTTGATGCATAATTCATTCACTGTTTATGAATTTGCGCTATATGTCTGTTACAACTGCATTCTCATTTGTACACATGTCATATTTTATTTGAATAGAATTTAGATGGTTAGTATTCTATGTAGTTTTCATTCAAAATTAATTGGTAACCATTTAAAAAGCTATTTGTGTTTGTAGATTATAGAGATTTAGAAAGACATTCCAAATAATGTTTGCATAGATTAATGCTTTTTTTTAATATAATGTTTCATAACCGTTAAGATATTTTTGCCAAAAAATCATTAGTATTTGTATATTTTTTGTTAGTCTGTGTACATTTTACATATAGCGTTAACTTTAAAGTTAGATACAAGGTATTCCATCTCATTTGTACATAGCACAATTTCTTTGTTTTATACGTTTTATTTTTACTGTGTAAATATGTGTTATTTTCCCAAACAAGAAGTTTGAAACATTTTCGATTAATTTGAGTTGATTAAATGTTCAAAATAATCTTACTGGTCTGGATTCACGATTTTGTTTATGCAGTACTACATTTCAAATACCTATCAATATTTTAATAACCTACTTATGTCACTTACATATTTCAAGAAACTGTTTTAAACTTCTGTCTATATGTTGCATGGGTGACTATGCATGCACTTTGTGCTATGCTTGTTTTGGGTGCAGTGTTTCCTTTTATTTTCTCTGCTCGATATTCCAGATTACCAGAACTTACCCGTCAATGAGGAGGGGGAGGTTTTAGGTAAGACCTTCAAAGTTTATACTACATTTTCTCTATTCATTTATTCAAGCTACATATTTTCAAAGGAAACTATTTTCACTTCCATACTATTTTGGAATTTGAAATCTCAAGTGTTCAGTGGATCCGAATACTGTTTTGACGTTTCTTTGGCCATGATGAAACACTTCATTTTAAAGCATGAAAAACATTTTATTTGGATTAATAAAGGTATTAATAGTTTTTTATGCAATTATAATAAATTTTGAGGATTAATGTTTCACTACCGCAATTTGTTGCAAGACGTCTCAGGCTATTATAGAGCTTAAAACTTTTTACTCAACATTTTAAACAAATTTTATTTAGTTTTGTATTACAAAAGGCTAACTAGACTAACTTTCGAAAATTTGATCCCTATACTTAATTAAACATAAAAAAATTCTTAAACAAATTTACAAATTTGCCGCAGGTCTGGAGCCACCCAAAGGCTTCCGTCAGATCCTGAAGGCGGAGGGACCGGAGGCGTTTGCGAAGGCGGTGCGAGCTAAGAAGGGTCTGTTGTTGATGGACACAACGTTCCGAGATGCCCATCAGTCTCTGCTTGCCACTCGTGTCCGAACACGGGACATTGTCAATATCTCGCCCTTCGTAGCGCACGCCTTCCACAACCTGTACTCACTGGAGAACTGGGGAGGAGCTACGTTTGACGTCAGCTTGCGGTGAGCAACTTGTTGGTAACTTCTAACTGAATGAAGTCATATTTCTACAAAGTTTGTATATAAAAACTCTTGCTGGTGGGTCAACAGATTTCTTTTCCTTGTTGACTGTTTACTTTTCACTATTCACTGTTCATTATGTAGTGAGGAGGGAGACTGTGCACTTGTGCAGAGCCGATAAGCTTCGCATTTCAAACAGCAGTTTTGGCAATCCTAGCTGTCCTAAAAACATCAGAACACCCAAAACCCTCCTTTACAGATTTTTTCTTACACTTATGAACTATACCAATAGTTAACATCTAAATATTTTTTTCAAACCAAAACCAATCTACCAAAAGGCATTGAATTGTAGAAATAAGTAAAATCTACTTCATTCCCTTAAAAGAGGGGTTTTTTTTTTTTTTTTTTTGTCCTGAGGACGCTAGGCACGAGCCTGGGATTGTTTTTCACATTACTTCAGGCTAGACCTAGGGGTTGCGGCATTATCACTTAGATAAAATCCATTGGTGACTTGGCGGGGATCGAACCCGGGACCTCAGGGACTGAAGTCCCGCGCTCTAACCACTACGCCAGCTTGCTCCCCTTAAAAGAGGGGTGCAACTAACAAAGATAGTTGCCTCAGCTTACTTGACAGTATGATGTTTCTAGTAATATTGCCAGCTTGTTTATATATGATATGCACGCTGCACAGTTAATATGGAATTATAAATAAGGTGTATTTTTCCATGTATAAAAGTTATATGTCTCTTGTAGCTTTGTTACCATCCAAGTTTTTCCGTTTCTTCTCATCTAAAGAATTCAATTCCCTTTTTTTATGCTCTAAGCTGGATGGTAAATAATTTAATGATATTTTGGAGACGAGAATACCATTAGTTTTTTTATCATCCTACCAAGCACAAACAACTCAAAAACAACAACAAAAACTGTTCCTCATAGATTCCTTCACGAGTGCCCTTGGGAGCGACTTGAGGAGATGCGCAACAGGGTTCCCAACATTCCCTTCCAGATGTTGTTGAGAGGTGCAAACGCTGTTGGATACACAAACTACCCCGACAACGTTGTGTACAAGTAAGTGTTTTGTAAAACTTGATCTATGTTTGTCTCTTTCTATGTTTTTAATAGCTAAAATTTACTTGAAGAACAGTTGTTTTTTTTTTGTTGAACATAAAATTCATCTGCTCAGGAAGGTATGAAATGGTTTGCTGTCCACTAACTCACTGGCACATCAATTATTGATTTTGAAAACTATACAAAATACAAACCTTTTTACTTTACAGTAAACCGTTTATATCTTCGCAACTACCATGCATTCTATATTTGTGTGTTAAGGTCCATTAAAGACAGTTTGAAAGAAAACAATTTTCCCTTCAGTTTAAAAAATAAAAGTTGTATGTCTGGTGGTTTATGATCATAGCAGTACTCCTACCTCTCTTGAAAATCAACAAATTGAAGTGTGGCTTTTGATAACGTACAACTTTAAATCTGATAATTTGGCCTGATCTTTTTTTGGAATTTAGGTTGTATAACACCTCTAGTGTAAAATAATTGAATTTTATATTCCAAGCAAGGTAGGCATCCCATCTTCATCTAAATTGCTCACCTTTCAGATGTACAGTAGAGTCCCGCAAACTCGGCTCTCGATAACCCGGCAGTCTGGATAACTCGGCCATCACTTGGCTCAGAAAATTAGTGATTTTTTTGAGTCCGAGTTAAAAATGGACTCAAGCCAAATCATTTGCAACTCATACCAAGGATTTGTTGTACTATATCTGATGACTTAATACTGACTTGTACTATAAACATAAATAAGAAAGGTGGTTAAAAAGCTTAAAAATTGTATTTTTCTTATTTTTAACCCTAGTTCCTGTTAACACGGCATTTCACAAACTCGGCACCCCTCCAGTCCACATTACGGCGAGTTTGCGGGACTCTACTGTATTACTTTTACAAAGGAATTAAATGCATAATTATATCTATATCCAAAGGAAAAATTAAACGTACAATGGCTAAATGGTGGAAACACATTTTTGAATGTACTTTTTTATACCTCATGTCGACTGTTAAATAACTTGTTGTTTCCCAGGTTTTGTGAACTAGCAGTTCAGACGGGAATGGACATTTTCCGAGTGTTTGACTCCCTGAACTACCTGCCTAACCTCATCCTGGGCATGGAGGCTGCTGGAAAGGTGATTTTATCCTACAAAAATTTCACACTACAGACTAAATTTAGAACAAATTTTAACCCAGTAGGAATCTAAAAGAATTTAAATTTGTAAAGATTTTACTCTATCAAGAATGGATGGTTAGCAATCCGCTTTTGTTGTACAGTATAAAATATTGTAAATGTTTGTTAGTATTGTAAACCTTAAGCTTTTGTACGTTTTCTGGCAATAATTGTATTGTGCATTGTATAAAGAACATTCTATATTGTCTATTGTTGAAATGTACAATTTTTGAACCATGAAGGAAGAAGGTGCTTTTTGAGTTTTAATTTGGGCTTAAAAAAATTTACAGCCTCAGAATCAAGCTATACAAAACTGTAACTTTGAAAAACCAAAACGATTTTGTCATTCAATGTTGTCAAATATTTTAATGTTATACCTTCTACACTTGTGCAGATTATTTATGACAACAATATCTATTTTAACTGTACACAAGTAAACCAATTTGTTAATACCGAGGCAAAAATGTGGTTCGAATTCCACTATAAGCTGTAGGTCCCTTTAGTTGACATTAGCTGTATGGGCTATTAATTAACAGCTGTGTCTAAGGAATAGTCGGCCTTAGTCACTAACAAGACTACAAGATCGCGCCACTCATCCTTCACTCATATTTGGGTTAAAATATGAACATAGCGGCGTCCCCATCTTAAATAATTGATATAATTGACTTAAATTTATAAGTTCTGACATACTTAAGCTGGATTTTCCTTGTGCAGAAGCAGAACTTGTAGAGCGGAGTACGGAGAAGTAATTTTCCGCTCGTCCTCTTCTAGGAAACAATCAAATTATTACCTAAAGACAAGAGGACTCCGCGGCGCCGCTCTCCGCTCTCTGTGCTCCACTTCGGCTCTTAGGAAAACCCAGCTTTATCCCTATGTGCTATAAACTTTGTGAAGCTGAATTAATCTCTCACATTTCTCAGGCTGGTGGAGTGGTCGAAGCTGTGATTGCCTACACAGGAGACGTCTCTGACCCGAAGCGAACAAAATACAACCTCAAGTACTACACAGACCTGGCTGGTGAACTGGTCAAAGCAGGCACACACGTTCTCTGCATTAAGGTAAAGATCATGCAGTGTAGACACACATTTATGATTTTATTGACTTTTAGTGGTATTATTAACTGTGATTCCCAAAATTTCACAGGACAAATATGTTGTATAGTCACAATACGTGTATCACAATGAAGACTTTCAGTGAGCTTACCAAACACAGCCCAGTATGGTAGCATCAGTTGATGTAGGAGACATCAGACTGCAGATTCATGAGCTACCAATTTTTAGGAAATTTCTCCTATAGGGAGAACGCTATTATTTTAAGAAGTTACCTGACCTCCTTGTAACTTGGTATGTACATGTGACTTATATTATTGACTTTTGGACACTGTTAAAAAGTCAAACATCCATGGACAAGCTATATACATATCCAAGGATATACTCGGACAAGCTGTCACCAATTCTTTTTCATAAAAAATGGACATACTTGGGTGAACCAGTCAAGGATTGTGCTAGTGTATAAAATTCTGTTTTATACCTTAATTTCTGTTACTGAGATAGGCTTGACTTTAAATGTGCTACAGCTTACAATAAGTCGTCCTATCAGTTTGACCTGGTTAAAAAGTCTATATTCGAGTAATATAAGCGAGTTACAAGAGCTCAATCTGTTGGCTGGTTGCTCAATTTAACAACGCGTCCTGTCTCTAAATGGGAAATTTGCTATAAACGAGTGTGGGAAGGCTTCTTGTGCGCATTCGCAACCTGCTTGCCACTCTGATTGACACTAAATTTCAAAATTGTGAATTACATAATTCAGATATCAAGTGTTTGATCTATGTTTGCAGGACATGGCTGGTCTGCTGAAGCCTCAGGCTGCCAAGTTGTTGGTCACAGCCCTGAGAGACAAATATCCCGACCTTCCGATCCACATCCACACCCACGACACTTCAGGTACGCAAACTATTTTAAGAAAAAAGTCTTCCTTCGTAAAGATAAAGTTCTGAAGATAGACTTATTAAAATACAGCCTCACTTTGTGTTATGTACAACAGTATTCAATTTTTTTTACAGTATCTAACACTTGTTGACTAAGTTCTCCATAATTTGAGAGTTTTCTCCACATTTTTCAATAGTAGTTTCTTGGCCGCCTGTTGAAAACTTTTAATCAGTGGCACTTATGGATTTTTCAGTATAGAAATATAAATTCTCACAAAGGTTTTGGAAAACCTGGTGAGAACCAAAAGGTTCTCCTAATTGGTACCTACACGAATTGGTATCTGGTAGGTACCGTACAATTGTAGGTTCTTTGGAAAAAGCAGAATGGGAACGTCATTCCTACAGCACTACACCACTGCTTTCCAAATACACCTATCTATTCCAAGTCCAGTTTGAGTAATGTTAATATAATTGTTTTCTGCTCACTACTCTCTGAGTGTCTAATTTGACTATGCGCCACTCATCCTATACTCATCTCCATTCATACTTGGCTTAAAATACCTACTTTGTATGGTCGCCATTTCATAGAACAGTATTAACAGTATATGATTTATTCAACAACAACTACAGAAAGTCAATATTAGTTGTCTCTTTTGAGTTGCTGTTACTGACGTCTGCTGTTTCAGGTGCTGGAGTCGCATCGATGTTGGCTTGTGCTCATGCTGGAGCTGATGTCGTGGATGTTGCCGTTGACTCCATGAGTGGAATGACTTCCCAGCCTAGTATGGGAGCCATTGTAGCTTCTCTGCAGGGCACAGATCTGGACACAGGTCAGTAAATATGTCTTCTTTCCTTATGAGAAAATGCTTGATAGCCATTGGCTTACATTTAAAAGCTAAAAATATCTACATAAACAGTAATTCAGATATGACGAACAACTTTCTTACAAACTAACCCTAATTTCTACACTTGCCACAGGTATGGACCTTGCTGACGTATCTCAGTACTCCGCCTACTGGGAGCAGACACGTCAGCTGTACGCTCCGTTTGAATGCACTACCACCATGAAGTCAGGCAACGCTGATGTCTACCTCAATGAGATACCCGGAGGTCAATACACCAACCTGCAGTTCCAGTCTTACTCCCTCGGTCTTGGAGATATGTTCGAAGACGTCAAGAAGTCTTACAGAGAGGCCAACCTGCTTCTTGGTGACATTATCAAGGTGATTCCAAATATATTTCATTTTCAGGGTGTTATTTGGATTTTTGAGAATCTATACTGATTTAACATCGGAAAGCCAGTGAGGCTTTATCAAGGTGACTGCGGATGCAAAAATTATGCCTTAAACAAATTATTTAATTTAAGGACTTGCTTATTGCCTTTTATTCCCTGTATGATTAAAATCAGTAAACTTCAGGCAGGTTGAGAAATAGTTGACAGCTTTATGAAACAAGAAAAATACAATAACATATGTTTTTTGTCAACACCATATGATTATGTTGCTAAGGCAGGGCGTTTAGTAAATGGGCCTGGGGTAAATGAGCCTGGTGGGCCCTGGCTCAGGGGCGCAAGAGGTTTTAGAATTGTTGGTGGCACAAAGAAGGGAAAAATTCACCCACACAAAAGAGGGAGGGAGTTCAAATATCTCTTGGGCCCAATAGATCACATATAAACTAAGGTAAAAGTCTTTGACCATCTAGAGTAATTCAAATGAATAAATTTTTATGATTTTTCACAGCTTCACCTTGTATATTTGTTGTATAACCTAGGCATCTACAATTTTAACCGCAAAATTTACTACTAAGTTGTATAAACAAAACAAAACTATCTATTATAAATCTATATCCCCTCCTAGACTCCTCCTAACATACTGCAAATTTTCAACCAAAAGCATCTATTTTCAAGTAGTACCCTTATTTATTCCTTCACAATTGTTCCACAAAATAAAATTTTCAGTTCCCATCATGATTTTCCATTCCCTACTGCACCGACTACTTTATCTCTGCAGAAGAAATGTTACCGAAATTTGATTGCAGGTGACTCCATCATCCAAGGTGGTCGGGGACTTGGCTCAGTTCATGGTCCAGAACCACCTGAAGAGTGAGGATGTGATGGCCAAAGCCGAGGAACTCAGCTTCCCCAAGTCTGTGGTGGAGTTCCTGCAAGGAGCCATAGGAGAACCTTATGGAGGATTCCCTGAACCCCTCAGGAGTAAGGTAGGTCTACAGTGAGATTAGAAGTTTTAAAAGCTTAAGATCTCAATCTTAATGGTTTTAGTTACCTTGATTGGTCGAGTGATTCATTGTAGTAGTAACTACTATTAGTTTCAGACTTCACACCCGATAGACTCCAGAAATTTGAAACTATACTTCAAAGGATCACTTCAAGCAAAGTAACTTAAACCATTTACACTCTTTTGATGCGAAACACACAGTAGCACAATATAGCGATCTGTTTCAATAGCTACTACGGCGGCTGATGTAAATTTCATGTCACTCTTGAATACTTTTAGTCCTTTAACTCTGCTACATGAAATTATTAATCTTTGACTAATAAAACTAAACATTCAATTCTGATGGTTAAGTTGTAGCCAGTTTTTAAATAAAAAAATTTTGAGAGGTTGGTGTGGCAACATTGCACCAGTCATATTGCCATGGATAACAACAGTAACAACAATCTTGTAAACATATAAACATTGCCCATATGCTTATAAAATTAGTGCAACAGCTGTTTTGGTAAGCTTAGACTGTGGCATTACCACTTTTGTCTTGCGGGACCTTGTATTTGAGGAGGCTATGGTATTGCTTTACGAATTGAATTGTTGACACGCTTACCCAGATTTTTTGTTTCCCAGGTACTGAAGGACATGCCCAGAGTGACTGGTCGACCTGGAGCCAGTCTGCCACCTCTAGACTTCAACAAACTCAAAACCGACCTGCAGGAGCGCCACCCCAACATTAGCGACAAGGACGTGATGAGTGCTGCACTCTACCCTCAGGTTAGATAAGATTTTACTTTGAATTGTCGTTGACAATTAAACATATATTTCAACAGCTCCCAAAATATTTTTCTGTTGCATCGAAACTCCAAGTTAGCAGTAACAAATATGAATACAATATCCCAGATAACAATTGGTGCAAGCAAAACCAATCCACCTTGTTTAAAGGCGGGAAGGATAGGCGTGTTGCTACGTTGATGTTATTTAAGTGAGATGGTTGCCAAATTGGCAACTAGCAGGGGTGATACTCATTATCTACCTCGGCTCATTGTGTTGTGCTCAAGATAAAGTATTGTCTTTCGAACATTGTATGCAAAGCGGATTTCTCATGTTTTCCATCATTCTACCCTAGCATACTAGCTTATCAACACTTACTGGACAAAGGGGTGTGAGCACATTATGTATATATTTATATTTACGGCCCTTTGTCTTACAAATGATAATGTTTACTAGTATCTTAGTCCTTAGTTCTGTCGTTCGTCGAGAGATTTTTTTAGAATGATTTTTGGTTCTTTTATTTTGAAGTACTATTTTAAGCTACATTTTAGACGTATTTTGTCTCAATAGGCGAAGTTCCTAAACGGAACTAAAAGTTGTTTATAAGAATATGATGTGTGGTAACGTTCCAATATCGGATTCAAAATAAAACGTCCAATTCTCCCAACAAAACAGTCTACTCATTACTTTTGACTTGACAAAATGTATTCACTCTCTCTCTGAGTTTTCTCTAAAGAATATTTTATACATGTGAATACAAATTGAGCTTGGAGAATTCAGTTTTAATTCAATAACCATACATTTAATTTTCTTCAGGTCACTGAAGACTACCTGAATTTCCGAGAGATCTACGGACCTGTCGACAAAATCGAAACCAGGATATTCCTCGTGGGACCGAAAGTTGGTGAAGAGTTTGAGGTGAGTTATATCTTAAATAAAAAAAATACCTAGTAATGAAATTTTTGAGTAATATAGTATGGGTTGGAAAGAGTTACTCTTTTAGCAACTGCTTTTAGTAACCATGCAATTGTATTTTTTTAATTACTTGCTTTGTGTAGGTTACCATTGAGAAGGGTAAGACCCTTGGTATCAAGACTCTAGCCATTGCCGAAGACTTGACCCCGAGTGGTGAGCGAGAAGTGTTCTTTGAGATGAACGGTCAACTGCGATCTGTCTTCATCAGGGACAAGGAGGCAACCAAGGTAACATTTTACGATTATTCTAAGCTGTTTCTTGATTATAAAATGTGTTTGAGTCAAATTCTGGGTTACTTAAAGTATTTTTTTATACATAGGTAGTTTTATACGTCACTGGTTTCAGGTTGAGAACAATGCGAGGACAGACATGAGGCGGAATCATGCCGGGAGGTCTTTAGTCCAAGAAATGAAATGGAGGTAGAAAGACCTCCTGGTGTGACTCCTCCGTCGTTGTGTTGTTCGCTCGACCCAACCGTGATACCAGTGACATGCGTAAATATTTTTGTAGATATAGAGACTCCAATAGTGCTAGTGTTTTTGTTAGTGATAATTTGGTGTGATAATAGCTCACATTCCCGATTAACATATAGACCCATCCTTATCCCGAAAATCCTTTCGGGCTCTGCCTCAGTGACTCTTGAGTTTTCCATGTTACCCTTATGAGTATATTCATATTTGAAATTAATAAAAGAATTTTGTCAGCTGTTTCAACTACACAAGTTGGTTCTTTGATATTAAATAGCATTACAAAGTTATAAGGTTTACCAACATGGTGCAGCACAATACATTTTTTTTAATTCATGACAACATCTAATTTGAACCAACTAGCAAGAAAAAGCTGTGAAAATGATAATTTCACTTTTTTTTTTGTTTAGGGGCAGTGGTAGAAAGTTTTGGCGATGGTAGATGTGCTATCCTATAGCGTACTGTAAATTAAAAGAACAAAAATTTCTTAAACCATGTCATCTCCCATTGCAAACGCAAAGCACGAGTATAACTACTGCAATATGCATTTTATATACTTATACGCCAACCCCGTACGAAGGATGGGCCCTCTGTTAGTCCAATATAATTCAAGTTCTTGATCCTGGAATACCAGTAACCAAAAAATGTATAGTATTAGTATTTATTGTAAATAATACATCATCATAATTGAAGTATAACTTGATGGCTCCAGTCTATACATCTTCATTTCACTAAAGCTCCAAGTTCCTCTTCTTCCTCAAATAGTTTCCTCTTCTAATCAATAATAAAATCCCCAGGAGATGCACTTCCACCCCAAGGCAGAAAAGGGCAACAAGGACCAAGTCGGGGCTCCGATGCCAGGAACCGTGATGGAAGTGAGAGTCAAGGTTGGCGACACTGTGGACAAAGGTCAACCGTTGGTCGTGATGTCAGCGATGAAGATGGAGATGGTTGTCCAAGCACCCCGCGCCGGCAAAATCAAGAGTGTCGACATCACCGTAGGAACGAAACTAGATGGAGACGATTTGTTGTTGTCCTTTGAGTAAACAGATAACTGATGTAAGGAGAGTAAACCCGAAAAGACTGATGAGTCGTTGTGTCAGAGTGTGTAGCACACTATAAAAGACTTAAATACTCGTACCGTGTACAGTTTCCTAATCACTTTTTGGTGATTTAGATTTATATTGCAAGACCCAACAGCCGAAAGCGAGATTTTAATCATCTAGCCGAGCGTGATGGTATATTTGCTGCTCTAGCTGAAACATAATCGAGGTTTAATGTTAATCTGTGATAGATTTTTTCATTTGTCTGGGTGTCTGCGCTGTTATTTGTTTTGGGGAGGATATTTTCGGTTATCTGTTTACCTCGCTTGTTGTTGCCTTGGCTTACCATGTAAGTCGTGTATACTTGCCTCTATATATATTATATAAGATTTTATATGTTATGTATATTTTGATTGTTTTAGATTGTATTTATAATGTTGGCGCTGTTGTTGTAATTTATTTATATGTAGTTTTAAATTAAAGTTAATAAACATTTTACATTAAATTAGTATTTGATTATACCCCTTTGTTTTATCTATGTTAGAACTATCGTAGGGTCCCATGGCTCCTAATTCAACCCCGAATCAACAAAATGATGATTGATGATACTTTCTTATTTCAACCAATCCAGCTAGGGTAGATTATATATTCCAATCATAGACTTCAAAGCTACTTTTAAGATGTGATAGCAAAACAAAAAGCTTAATTTGATCCTTACCCAAATTGGTTTTACTGGGGTACTCATCCTAAATGCATGATATATTAACTCTTGATTATTTACATTTTCATTTCTCAAAGTTCTAGTCTGGAATTGTTTTCCATTATTACTTCAGTTTAGGCCTAGAGGGGTTTGTGGCATTATCACTTAGATAAAATCCATTGGTGATTGCTGGGATTGGAGCCGAGGACCTCAGAGACCAAAGTCCCACACTCTAGGCTCTACTACTAGACTAGCTCACTCCCTCAATATGATTCTAATAAACAGATATGCTTGCATATCTTTCTTTATTTGTCTTTTCCTCTTCTCCCTTTCACCACTGTACTTGCCTTGATGTCTATCTCTGTTTATAGATATTTCTGCTCTTTATCAATCTCAAAGTTCTTAGCTACAGACCTTATCACAGACAGCGAAACCACCTTGATTTGGTTTTCTGTCTCTTATTATTCTCTTCCTCTGACCTTTCACATATTTTGCTAAAATGGTTGATTTGTCTATGTAATTTTCTCTATAATGCAACCCAGTTGATCCTAATTGATGAAGCCTAGCACCTATAATATAAAACCCATGCCTCCAGTAACTTTCAGGACCGCTTTAGTAAATGGACCTTGTGTGCCCTGGCCCAGGAGGGCAAGAGGTTTTTGGAAGTTTGAGGGTGCAAGGAAAAGATAAATTCACCTGCATGGATGGGGGGAGGGGGTGTCATTATTTCTCGTGCTCATAGCCCATCTCATGCTGAGCTGAGACAAGAAACCCAATCAGGCTGGGCAGCAGAGGGTTTTAAAGTGCTCCCCTAACAATTAAAAGGTCGCGGGTTTGCTACCAAGAAAAGTCAGTAGCTTTTTGATGGTTTGAATTGAAACTAGACCTATAGCTGTCCCTGCTCTTTGGGCTTTAAATTAAATAAATGACCCTGGCTATGAAACAGCTGATCAGTCAAGAGCAAAGCTACACGGATCATCTCGCACAATTCTACATTCACCCATCACTCTTATTCAGATATTAAAATCGCAACCCTTGTGTTTTTGAACCCAGTGACAAGACCTGTATTATACAGTAATTATTTACCTATTTTGCCTGAAGGTCTTGTAGTTTAAACTTTGAAGATGCCGCACTAAGCGGCAAAATGCGCATCAAGTATTAGTTATTTAAATTACAAGACCTTTAGGCAAAACAGGTAAATAATTACCGCAACCCTTGGTTGGAACTAATTGACTGATTTATATTATCGGAATTAATTGACTTTAGTCAATTAAATTTATTGGTTACATAGTTTCCATAAGGTCCGGTCTCAAAGAGCTTCGCTTGCTTCGGTCAAGTATGGGTTGTCATGATTATTTTATCAGTCAACTCTTGTAGATTTTGGATTATGGTGTACTAAGGTGCATCCATGAAAGCAAAAAAGTGTTGGATGATTGAAATACTTTACTGTTTTTTTTTTGTCTAGAGAACAGGTGTGTTTCTTAAGAATGGCCATTAAAAAAACCCATTGTTAAATCTCAATTGTAGTCAAAGTGAACTAGACAAACAACTTACAATTGGTATAGAAAGAGGTGAAGATAATAAAGTTAATACTGGATTGACAATAAATAATATTCGTTCTTTTAGCAACCAAACTTCAGCTAAACATAATAACATTCCAATAGTTTAATATTTTTGATGAATTAATTTCATATCCAAAGCCACTTAGCAATGACTGGCTGAACACTTGTTTGACAGTTCAAGGCCAAATCCAGTCCACTTGAGGGGGGGGGGCATGTTTGGGAGGGGGCAACCAGACACCCAACCAGCTGATCTGAGCTATCTGACTCCATCTGAGCTAGATACCAGATGTCCAATTCAGTTCAGTGCATGCATTAGCAAATGTTTGAGTGTGAAATCATATGTTTGTTTGTGTTTCTTGTTTCTTACATTGAGATTAGTTGTCAGGGAGTGACTTAGCAACAGGTATGTTTATTATTCTTGCTTACAAAGATTGCTCTGTGAGATACACTATCACTAGATCACTATTAATTTATCATCAAGATTATTTGTTTTACCACTCTATTATTAATTTTTGGGTATTTATTAATACTGCAATTTTGACTATCGAGAACTGAAATTCACATTTTGACACATGCTTTCATTTTTCCCAACAATAATTTTAATAATAGACTATCCAACACAAGAGAGTTTTTTATCTATGGTTTGATACAGTTATGTTATGTTTTGCTTGTTATGGGGACAATGATCTGTTTGTGTTTTGGACAAGGAACAGACATAATTCTTATCACTCTGAGATAACTGCTTAGTGCTTATACAGCAAAACAGGAAGCCTGGTTTAGAGCTGACCTTGTGAAGATTTATTGTCACATAAGTGAAAGCTGGCAGGTCTTTTACCTTCAGAGATTACTTTAGTTATAAAGACAAATCAAGTGCATTTGATATATTCTAAAATCCTAAAAACTGTGAATACTGGGAATATTAAAATTAACCTAAAAATATTTTCTTACCAAACTAAATCATTTAAGTTTAAGAATTTGATTAAGTAACTATTCACAATAACCATAATATAGATAATACTAGCTGACCCGGCGAACTTCGTATCGCCTAAGTTATAGGTTTCCCCTAAGACAGACCGATGGAAAGAAAGTACCGTTACGTTTAATTTTCAAGATGATCTCGTTCGCATCGCTCAATCACGTCCTGGTTGAAGTTCGTTCGCTACGCTCACTCACCTTTGGGTTGGAGCTCGTTCGCTACGCTCACTCACCTTTAGGTTGGAGCTCGTTCGCTGCACTCACTTGCCTTCAGGTTAGCTCGTTCGCTACGCTAACTCGCCTCCAGGTTGAAGTTCGTTCGCTACGCTCACTCACCTTTGGGTTGGAGTTCGTTCGCTACGCTCACTGACCTTTAGGTTGGAGCTCGTTCGCTGCGCTCACTTGCCTTCAGGTTAGCTCGTTCGCTACGCTAACTCGCCTCCAGGTTGAAGTTCGTTCGCTACGCTCACTCACCTTTTGGTTGCAAATTAGCTGTTGTCATAAATGTAAAAGAAATAATAGTGCTGCACCCTGTTGGTAATCATTGTAACTTTAATGCTATTGAACATCATAGAACAGAGCCAACTTGTTTAATTGAAACAGCTGTTAAGATTCATTAATTCCATTTCTCATAAGGTTAACATGGGAAACTCCAGAGCCACTGGGGCGGAGCCCTTTTAAGAATTTCGAAACGGGAAATAGTTTACGTCCGATTCGCATACCTACAGAATTTACACACCAAATTTCATAACGATCGGTGAAGTCGTTCCGGAGGAGTTTGCAGACAAACACTGTGACACGAGAATTTTTTAGATAATATAATTATATGCTTTTGCATGAAAATGAAATCATATACAGTATAGCGACTTAAGTTTTACTTAATTTTATTAATTTTAATTTTATTAATTTTAATTTTATTAATTTTAATAAAAGTCAAGTTTTACAATGATGGACTAAAACATGCATGGTATGAACCTCCCCCACCCTTAAAAATATAAATACACTTTCTTATAATTTTTTGTTTGTTCAAAGTTAATGAAATGTTTTACTGAAAATCAATGTCTGCCTTTTGGATTGTAGATTTTAATTTTGAATCCGATTAAGACACAGCTTAGCTTACATCCAATTGATCCAACCATTGATCATAATATGTACTGAGCATAATATATAGTCAATGATTTCCTGGGGCGAAGCTGGTCTAGTGGTAGAGTGTGGGACTTTTTGGCCCATGAGGTCCGGGGTTAAAATCCCGCCAACCACCAATGGATTTTATCCAAGGGATAATGCCATGTCCCCCCACTACACATATAGCCTGAAGTAAGGTGGAAAACAATTCCAGGCTAGTATCTTGAGGAAAAAATATAACTGGGCAATTAATGTAACTTGTTGACCTTGGAAGTGCAGGTAATAATTTACATGTATAATGTCTGTCACAAAAAAATACCAACATTAACTGAATTATTTAGCTGACTGGTAACTATTATGCTACAATTTGATGATATACATTTGACTAGATCGGAGTCAAGACAACATTTTTACATAAATGCTAATTTTTCTGTAAGCTAAATTACATACAGTGTTTCAGAGTGGATTAATTATTTAGTTGTCAACTGGTACTAAATAAATTTTTGAGGAATTGGTTTTTCTTTACCCCAAAGATTATACCTTAGTAAAGTTTCAAAAAGTTTTGTATTATTTGTTATGTTTTGTTGTAACGTGGTATCCAGTGATATTCCATTAAGAATCCTTTTTAGTTATAAATACATATTGTACCATAAAAAATTCCTGTAGTCTAATATTACCAGTAAGCAAGTCTAAAGTTAATATGAGAGTAGGATGACAAGACAAGATTAGACAAGATTCTTTATTTGGTCGATTGAACAGAAATCGTTCGATGGTATGTAATAGAGGCCAAAAATATTCTATCTAAGGCTTTTATTGAATTTATCAGGCATAAAAAGCATAAAAGGCATTTTCTAAACAAACTATGTTTAAAAAGTCATTAGGTGTAATCGTAAAGTAATTGTCTTGCGTCCGGCCTTTGGTTACAAATGAAGTTTTAATCATATATTATACAACCTATGACTCATACAGTCACCAAGTAAACCGTTCTGTGGAGAGGTTTGATTTCTCAGTAAAAAAAATTAAAATATATAAATTCACAATTTCTACTGAAAACAAAAGACAAATGACAATTATTGAATAACCCAACTATGGCAAAAGTAACTGGCACTTAAACAAAACGTATGTGTTGTCATTTGAATTTTATTCTCCTTCAATATTATCTTTTTCTAACATTTCAGAATGTTTATCATTATAGATTAAGCATACTCCCTTAGCAATGATAGTCTCTGATATTACCATAGACAAAAAGAATTAAATATAGACGTCAGCTGTGCTGCGGTTACCATAGGTTCTGGGGCACACCGCTGGGAGCGCCATGTAGTTACAGCGTACGCGCTAACTGACAGTATGAGGCGCTATGTAACTACACGGTGCTCCCAGCGGTGTGTGCCAGAACCTATGGTAACCATAGTAACCGCAACATGGCTGAGCGTCTATATTTAATTCTTTTTGTCTATGATATTACAATGAAACAATTCCAGCAAAGTACTTTTTGGAGATGTTAACTCCAGTCTCCTAGGAAAATATTTCTCACACAATCATCAGCTGCTGGTTAAAAAACCATCAGTACTGAAAACTGAATACCAATGAAAAACAACCTAAATTAACATACTGCACTGTCATGACTTCAAACAGTGCTTAGAGTTCTCATCCTATTGGGAAATTGGTAGAGAGTACATGTTTCATGTTGGTAATGTTTAGAGGGTGCTGGTGTTGACTAAATGTACCGGTATTTTTTTGTTTAAAACCAATTTAAGCTTTAACACTGGCTTATATCAGCTGTGCTTTGAAATTGAATTCTTAATATATTCAAAAGTAGGAGTATGTAAACAAGATTGTTTAGTTGCGAGGTTATATAAACATGAAATTAATTTCTATTCTAAAAATATTATGTTTGCTCTGAACCAAAATAGTGAACACACAAATCTGATGGAAGGGTTCTATATAAAATTATGATGTCTTCGAAGTTTAAGGTTTTGTTATCAATCCAAGCCAAGTTTATTGAGCTGTTTTAATCTTCGTTGGAAGAAAGAAAAAGAAAATATGTTATCAAAGGTCAATACTGATAGTGTAGAAGCTCAACCAGTGGAAGTGATGACTAAGAGTTTAATCAGGTTCTTTTTTCATGTTAATTAACAAAAACTAGGTTATTTTTTATTTACATTTTATTGCCAAAAGATATAACACATTTATAAATGGACAGCACCATAATATATATCACTATGGAATACTTATTGAAACTTATGCAGTTTTCAGGATACTAAGTAATAAGGATTGTGTCAATGTGTCAGTTAGGATTGGGTTGGAAAGGATGAAGCAGATGCTCCTAACAACACTGAAAGTCGCACCTTATCTTTTGTTTTTAGGGAGAGATGGGAAATGTGTAGACAAGTTGTAAGCATGTAGTGTGTTTTAGTGTGGTTTAAGATCCAGATAGGCTAACTACAAAAGACCTTTTCTAATCTTTGGACACTAGCCTGGTAAAATACTTGTATCAATTTCAATTATCAATTCAATTATCAATTATTTTAAGATGGGGACGCCACTATGTGCGCCTATCACTTCATCAGAACTAGCTCAAATTTGCTACTGCTCAAAGGGCTCATTCTCCGAGTTTAGCCGCTCATTTCTTACATGACTTAGACTGCAATCCTATCTAGGTCGTTCTTTTTGGGTTGGAAGATGTTACGAACAAAAGTGATTGACCAGCAGTCCCAGTTGTCATCATGCTCTCGCAAGCTGATTTAACCGAGAGCATCCCAAGATGTTGGTGGCCTCCAGGCGGAACATATCCCAACACAGGGCAGTAGAAGAATCTGTCAATAATGCGCGGAAAGTAAAAATAGTTGTATAGTTTGAACTTGGCTATCAAATGCAGGTACAACTGACAATGACCGTGACCAGACAAGAATTGCGTGAGGTAGTAAGTCACCCTCCCCGTTCCACCAAAGGTTAAGTTTTTGTAAGTGTCGGATTATCAACTCTGATAAATATAAAATTTGTAATCCCCATTTATATTTTTCAGACACAGCAATGTCTCCTAGAAGTCTCACAGGGTGGGACCTCTGGATGAAAACTTTTCAAAATTCTTTTCCTCGGAGAAAGAATATTTGTGCCTCCCATTTCTCAACGGTTCAGCTTCAGCTCCAAGCAAAGAGGTTGGACAAACATAAAGGTCACTTCCAGTACCGCAACTCATCCAGCATTGTCGAGTCTCCTTTTCCTAAGGTTGACATCCCTAAAGTTTTGATCCCAGATTTGATTTGGGAAACTGTGGATCGATTTCCGGACGCTAATGCTGTTGTGAGTGTTTTATGATTGTATTTGATGACATGCATAAAAATTATTGTTAATTTATTTCTTTGTTGTTCATCAAGGGAACAGATATGGATACAAAATTAAATTCCCTAAGAAAAGAGTTACAGGCAGTTGAAAGTACAAAAAAAGTTCACAACACTATCAACTTAGTATTTCACCCCTACAAGGGGCTTTTTCAGGAGAAAGAGTTTATATCACTGTGGTGATTTGGGGGTTCAGTCGGTAGCTCGACGGACTACACAATCATTGCAAGAGTGAAAATTTAAAAACGTACGTTTTCAGGAAAAGCACTTTGCAAATTTTTTTCCCATTTTTTCAAAACTTTTATTATTATTTTTATTTAATTAACATTTGAAGTTTCATAAAATGTCCATGGTAACGCAATATCTTTGGTATTTTTTTAAAAAAAGAGCATCTTTAGTGGAAAAACACAAAATCTTGTCACGACCATAACAGACGTTTAAATGAATATTAAAAATAGTTAATATTATTTTTATAAATGTTTTGCTATAAACTATGTTACTTTTATGACCATTATACAATAAAAAGGTCACTGAGCTTTTAGTATATTTGGTCTTTCTAGAAAAAATAAAAAAACTCAAAAAATTGAAAAAAAGCCAATAAAATCTTTTTAAGTTTGTATAACTCCGAAAAAACTTACCTGAGACCCGAAAAATCGTTATGCTTGTATAGAGGTGTGCTTCTTTTGTGTATAAAACATTGAAATATGACGATATTTTAATTTTTGAAATTTTTATGATAGAAATCATAAACGGTGATGGTCAGGGACAAGCGGTACGGTCGTGAATTTTCTGAAATAATCTAAATCTTTCTAAACAATCCTTCAATTATACTGTTAGTTATAATAAAAATAAGTGTTTCAATTGAACTAAACTGTTCAAATTACAACTATATTAAAGTTATTGTCACGACCAAACACACTATAACCCACAAGGCTGGATTGGTCGTGAAAAAACCCGCGATGGTCGTGAAACTTTGGTCGTGAAATTACGTGTTATTTGGCTCTGTTCTGGCGGTAGTCCTGCACCTCATGTTCGAGGATACAAAGTGAACTTCTAGGTTAATCTAGCAATTGAAATATCTTATAAACAAAAATTAACACCATGTCTACTTCATCAAATGACTACGTGGTCATGGACACACCAAAATTACAAAAAACACAATCTTTCCTTTATTAATCTTGTAATTCCTCCTTTCAACTCGAAATGACCGGCACTACAATCCTGACGTACACCCCGAACTAGTCTCTAAAACCAACTGACTCCATCGACGCCAGGCTTGCCACTGTCGTGCTCCAAAGTTGAAAATTTTTCCCAAATGGTCGTGATGCCAAATCGAGGGACAGACTTATTTTGTCATGGTAGTCAGTTTGCAATGACAATAAAATTATAATATGCTCCTTTTTTGTAAGTTTAATAACCATTGATGACATAAAAATATGGCTTTATATATTTCGGGATGAATAATTAGTCTAAAAACAGCGTGAAAGTTGGAAAATGTACCCTAGGGACACGTCATGGTCGTGAATTTCAAGACTTTGAAAATACGAAAAAAATACCTAGAACCTATTTAAAACCAAATAAATGTGTGTAACATGTTGCCCCCGTCCCAAAAAATATTAAAACACATAATAATAAACTACAAATCCAGTATCTACGAAGTAAAAGGCCAGGGACATGAAAACGTACGTTTTTAAATTTTCACTCGCAACTGTTTCGTGGGTTCGACTCCTCGTGTACACGCCACTACATTTGAGTAGTACAGTTCAACTCTTGTACATTACCACCTCGCCCTTTTGTAGCTCGATGTATTACACACTCAGGCTCAAGGTGTATGAGAGAAGCCAAATACAAGGTTAAAGAGGCCGACAACTTGCTCTTAAACAAAATTTGATTCCATATAACTGTTTTCAACTGAGTGAGTAAGGAAACGTTTTGTCGCTGTTAGAAGGGGTTCTATATTGACTTGACATATAACCTTAAAAAAATTTAATACTTCATAATAATTTAAGACCTGATTTCAAAATTTGAAAAAACCTTTAACTCATCCACAAACAGTCTCATAGTGATGAGGTTAATGTCATAATTGATTAATTAATAACCAAGTTCAATGAAAAGTGATGGACCCATATTCGTTCTTTATGAGACCCGATTTAACAAAAAATTTTATGATTTCGCTTGCACAATTTAGAAAATCACTTATTGGATAATCAACAAGAAAGACTATTACTATTTTAATTATTTATGAATGTACTATGGGTGAGAAGACTTTGCAGGTATTTTTGTTCTGTTTAAATTTTTCATCTCTATGATACTGCGTCAGACCAGAATCAAAGTATCAGACTGGGGTTTTTCAGAAGCAGAGTGCTGGCCTTTTGATCTTTAGCCAAGCAATTGATAAAATTAATTTTCACTGCCTAAAATGTTTGAATAATGTAATAAGAATAGTAATAATAAGAATATTGCTTCACTTATAACTCAAGAGTGTTATAGAATTCATTGCTATTTAAGTTTTATCTGTTCCAGAAATGTGGAATAACTGGAAGAATCTATACTTATGGAAATGTGCAAAAGTTAAGTCGAAGATTTATGAACTCTTTGAAAAAAGCTGGGTTTTCCCATGGTGAAGTGATTGCTGTCATTTTGCCAAATAGCCCGGAGTTTGCCATCGTTGCACTGGGAGCCCTGGAGGCAGATCTATCAGTGTCTTTCATAAACCATGTCTACACTGCAGGTCAGTGTATACAGATCATATTTAACTTTAAGATTCTGAACTTATTCGGAAAGAGTTGACAGAAAGTGATGTGGGAGGAATTTTGACAAATTGATTTGCCTTAGGCAATGAATACAAAACCCTTTGAGAAGTAAAATGCTTATGGAGAATAGTTAGACTGGAATTTTGCCACCGAAATGAGCTTTCCACAGCCTCTGCTACGATGGCTAGCGTGACGACCGTGATACTCTATCTGTCTCTCTCTCTAAGCCGATTCCTTGTCTCACTCTCTCTCACTCAGTCAGCTAACTTGGCTGCGGCTTGCGATAGTTTACCTAGTGGCTGTCAAATATTTCCAGACAGAACTTTTTTAAAAGGCATTGCGCTTCTTGTATATTTTATATTCATTGCTTTTTGGTCATAATTCTTGAAAAAAATAAATATCACAGAGCAATACTACTTTGTGGATGGAAAAATAACATTTGCAATATATATTTGGATAGGTTTTAGGGGTACAGTAAAATGTATACTATCAATGAATGTATCAAAATAACTTAGACTAAAATATTTTAGACAAACATAAGACTCATGTTTGAAGTTTGAACTGTGCTTCCGTCTTGGATCCCACATGAAGTCAATTTTATTTTACTTTCAACAACAAATCCATCTGCTAGCCCTGTTGATGCCGAATAATGATTAAATAACAATAGTTATTCTAACATTGGTCTCAAAATTCATGTTAAGATAAATCCCTTAGTTTAAAATGTAAACAAGCCATGTAGAAACTTCTTAAATTTCCTTACCAAAGTATTTGTGATTCAATATCACATGATGTCATTTGAATATGCGTCATGATGAGTCATTGCAGCTACAGCTGTTCATTGCTGTTTGTCGTTGCTTGTCACACTTCATAATTATTACAATATAACCTCTTGATTCCAGGATATTTGTTATGGAAAGGATTTTGAAGTGTAAATTGAACTGAACCAAAAATTGAGACAAAAATAAGTTAACCTTTGACAACTAATAACTAGATATTCCATTCCCAAGTTGAAATTATAGCCATCTAAGAAAGCCAGTTTTAGAAAGGAAATAAATGTAGTTGATTTGACCCAGACAAAGTGCTTGTTGTTGTTTTTTATTTGATGTAAATTATTGATTTCTTCTAAAAATGCAAACTTTTCCACTAGTATTTTGCAACCGTCATCACTTATCTCGTTGTCCAAGAAGTTAAGTTTCCAGTGTTGCCAAAAGCAGGCTAACAAATACGATAAATATAATAAACGATCTTACTTACCAAACAAAAATTATGTTTCAGATGAAATCTGCCATCAGCTGCAGAACTCTGGAAGTGTGTGTGTGGTGAGCGGAGTAGACCAACTGCCCGTAGTCCAAGCAGCAATTGCTAAACTGGAGGAGTCGACTCGATCAAAAACCGTTCGGAAAGTAATCGCTGTTGATTTCCCATCCCCACCTTCTTTGCCACAAGGGATTGTCAGGTTAAGTGAGATGATCGCAGACCATGTTGATCATTCCAGACAAGGATCATTGCAGAAAGGCGTTCATGATGTAGCGTTCCTCCCATACTCCAGTGGGACCACCGGGCTGCCCAAAGGTGTTTGTCTGTCTCACAGCAATATTGTCAGCAATATTTTTCAATTCGGTGCAAACGGAGTAGAAATCAACTCTCCTGGTAAGTGGTGAGTTAAATTGGATTTAATTTAGATTTCAATAATATCATAATGATGTAAGAATATAAAGTGTTAATTAGGATTTTGGAGTCATGTATGTGATACAAACATAGTTTGTGATACAATTTTCATTATTTTTTTATAACTTGAAGATTGTTGAATGAAATTTAATACAAATACCGGTACACTAAGAAGATAAAGATTCCAAATGACAAACAACTAAAAATTACAGTTTATAACTTCTAAAACATATATTCTTAACATCTATGTAAAGTCGGTGTATCAACTGAATATTTCAAGAATAGGTTGAAAGTTCATGCTGTGAAAAGAGAATTTTGAAATGTGATGAGTCGGTGGCTTAGTCTGTAGCGTCACGGATGTCGGGTCCAAGGCAGCGATTTCCTGGGTTCGGACACTGGTACCTGTCACTACTTTTTATCAGTACAGTTCACCCTTGTTATTTACTGGGCCACCCCTTGCTTGACTAGATACGTTCCACGCACAGGCCCATAACCTATATGGACAGGTAAATGCAAGGTTAAAGAGACCTCCAACCTCTTTAAAAAAATAGAAATTGTGCACCCTGATTCAAAATAGTACCATTACCTTTCAATTATTTATCTTTAAAAAATATCATTAATAATCCTGACTAAAACAGCTTGACACTGTAAAAAATATTGAAAGTTGAACTAACCTCAGTTTAATATTCAATTTACTCTGTTACAGACAAAGGACAGGACACTTTGCTCGGGATATTACCATTTTACCACATTTATGGCCTTGTAATTATTCTGCTCTGTGGTCTGCATAGAGGGAGCCAAATAGTCACATTGCCAAAATTTGAGCAGAAAACTTTGCTGAGGGCATTTGAGAATGAAAAAGTAAGTATATGTTGTTATTATGGTTAGGTAATTGAATTAGCTAATATTCTTTATTGGCTTAAATCAGATCAATCCTTATCCTTTGTAGCTACTATAGGTAAGTTAATTTAGTGTTTTATAGGTAAATGCAAAAATATGTAATGTGGCTTTGAATGAAATCAATAAATCATACAAATTTGATCAAAAGACAACCAACAAGTCAAAAACCAAATTATAGCAGTTGAATTATTCTCTATAAGAATAACATGGGGATTTTAAATACAAACAATGAATTTCTGTAGACATTTAGCTCAATCACCAGCGGGAAATTGAAATTCACCTTGCAGTAGCTTGTGCAACTCCTGGGGAGGGCATATCGGTAGTGGGGTAATTGTATAGCTGCCGAGCTGTAGTGCAGCATTGGTAAGCGCTTTTTCTTGTACCTGCAAGTCTACTTTGTCGGTTACTGTTGTCATGTACCAGAAACTGAGTGGCACAAACTTGGTAGAGGGTCGTAGTGATAAAACCATGTTTCGTCACCAGTCACAATTTTATTAAAAAAAATTGGAACTGCATCGGCCATACCAATGAACTCACCAGCCATTATCATTCAAGTTTCTTTGTGTCAGGAGACAGCAGTTTTGGAACCATTTACGAACAAATTCGATGCATGTTTAAATGATCATGAAGGATGGTGTGAACACTTCAGTGAGATAAATGTACCTCAAATGCAATTTCATCGATTGTTAATTTCTGATTTTTACGCTAAACTTTTCGTACTCGCTCAGTTAACACTTGTATAATTGAGTGAAGGTGCTGACTTCCAACCACTTAAATTGCAATTCCATTGCAGTAAAATACATGGTGTAAGTACATAAATTTATGGCCATTCTTCACTTGCTAATTGTAGTTTTTTTCCAGTTTTCAGTGTTATTCTTAGTGCCTCCTCTGATATTGTACATTGGAAACAGTGCAGACGTGAAGGGAGAGAAACACCTGACTCGTGTGAAGTACCTTTTATCAGGAGCTGCGCCTCTGGGGGACACTGACATGGAGAAGGCCAAGAGGAAAATACCAGCAGAAAACAATTGTGTTTTGGCCCAAGGTAATTTGATGTTTTACCACTAGTTTGATGGTTTGTCTGTACTTCAAAAGTACAAGGGTTGTCCGTAAATTACCTCGAACGAGCTACCCTTAGGACAATGTAGCCTACGCTAGTTCAAATCTCACACTTGCTCTGTGTTCATTACTTTCTCTACTATTCTAGGTGATTCCCATCTCTATGCATTGGATATGTTAACAATGGAAGAGAAAAATTGACATTTTGCCAGTTGCCTGGTATGAATTGTGATATTTTATTCAGTTTTTGTGAAATATGAAATCAATCCTTCATTTGGCCTTTTGAAATTTGTCAACAGTTGATGAATGTCACCTGAAAAAGTATATGGATGGAATGAAATTTAAGAAGTGGTTTAGGGAGATGACAGAAAGCCATCACATGTGCAAGAGGTTGGCCAGGAGTGTTTCTGTTGAGACAGTCTTTAAAGATGAATGACATTTTTTTACCGATTTGGGTATTTAAGAATCCTAGGGTTTGTCCTTGTTTTTGGTAGTCATAGAGACGTCCTATTGGTTCAGCGATCTCTTCGATCCACACAGATCCATGAGCAAGATTTCTAGACCTTCCACTGTCAGTCAAGTGATACCACGGTGATACTGACCCTCTCATAAATGTGGGGAAAAAGTGAAAGAGTATAGAAATAGCCTATTCTCCAGCGAGCAACCTCAAAGACACTTCTGCTACAACCTTCAGCAGCTGGACACACACCGTGTATGGCTTATCCTATTCTATCAAACGCTGCTTTTATTTTTGAAGAGTTTTCATTCAAAAAATGCTTGTGTGGTCATAGCCTAAGAATAAGGGGGGACGTGGAAATGAAACGATGACAAAACAAAATGAGGATAACAGGAAGGAAGAAGACCAAAAGAGGTGAAAAATTAAAGTGCACAATCACATGAGAAATTGAGAGTCGCTGAAGAACTCACACAGGATTGGTGTAGGTGAAGGCAGTTAGTTGGTGGATCAAATGTCTTCTTTTGCATAAATGCATAGGGGTAGCCATTTGAGTTTGCTTTAACCAGTTCCTTCTCATCTGTCATTGATGGTTATATTTTATCCCAGGTTACGGCATGTCAGAGTTGTCTCCAGTCGCCACAGTTCCAACAATCCCCGTTAAGAACCTAGCTACTTGTGGCGCCCCTGTAGCCAATTCCCAGGGTAAGATTGTGTGCCCAGAGACTGGAAAGGACTTGGGCCCAAAGGAGACAGGGGAGCTGTGCTTTAGAGGGCCTCATGTGAGTGTGATCCATTTTTGGACAATTTTTACCAACTTCTTATCCGATGTAAGCCATAGCTCTAAAGTCAACTGTGTTTAAAGGTATGAAGTGTAGTATAAAAAATAAGTTTCAGTTCAATGTAGTTCAATGTTTGGAAGAACTTTGATGACTGATTAAAGTATAGAAGAGGATTATACGCATTATAACCAAACAGTATGAGTTTACTCTCTTAACTGTGGTTAGTAACATTAAAATTTAAATATGAGTTTGTAAACACAGTAAAACATTTACTCATTGTCGAGGCTTGCTCCTGAACTGGTGAGACAAATATTAAGTTCTACAAACAATGTAGACGCTGGTTTCTTCATGATCGAGAATATCAATCTTTAATAAAAGTCTGGGCGTTGCCAAGGGGGTACCGACAAACAACATTTTAAGCTCAACACGAGCAAGTGTATGTTTATGTTTTTGTGTACATAACCCACTTGTCTACGTCCAATCATAGACAATAGAGTAGACATAGACTGTCAAAGAAAGGTTTTGCAATCTGCCGCTAGAGCGTTATCGCCGTTCGATATCGGTTATCGGTATTCTATTCGGTTTCATCGTCGACTACTCGCCAGCTGTTACCAGCACTACCACTCTTGCAAACGAAATGCTTACTATATCGCTATTATCGTCTTCTGCAATCGCGTCAAAATCATGAACATCCTCCGCGGCTGTTTAGACATCATCATTGAATGCTGTGGTCCCGAAACGTCATTGTCGTATATAATTGCGGCAAAATCGAGAAAATCTTCAGCTGCCGTGTAGACATTATCGTCTTGCGCGATCGTAGAAAATACGTGATCATTTTTCCCGCGGTCACGAAAACGTTGTCTAGCACGGTCGCGGTTTAAGAACATCTCCCGCGGTTGTGTAGACATCATCGTCGTCTTGCGCCGTCACGGAAACGTGATCGTTGTCTAGCGTGATCGAGGTAAAATCATGAAATTTCCCTACTTTGATAACAAACTAAAGACTAAATCCAAACTTTTCAAGACCATTTTGAAATTCAATACTAATACCTGACTTTCCCGTTTTCCCCGACTACTAGACACCCTGGTTAATTAGATTTTAACCTTGCAAGTATAAAACAAAACCTTCCAATAAACCACTTCCTAGAATTATGGATTAATAAAGAAAAACTTTGAATCACTGTAAATAATAAAACTACAAAAGTATAACAAATATAGCCTATGTTAAAAACATACAATAAATTATGGCATTTAAATTAATTTATTGCTTAATATTAAATAAGTCAGTAAACTCCAATTCTGGGGAATTCCTCCAAAGTTGGCAACACTACTCCCAACTACCAAGTTGTTATGGAAACGGTCGCTAGCGCTTGATGCTGCAGCGGTGGGCGCCGTAGCTACACATTACCCCTAGCGGTCGGCGCCGGACTATACGCTAACCGCAGCACAGCTGACAGTCTATATTTATTTATTTTTGTCTATGGTCCAATCAACCGACCTTTATGGAAGATTGCCTCCTCAACCACTCAGAGCAAGGCCTGGACTGTAGGGTGGTTAAAGGAAAATAATTAAATTAAATAATCGAAGGAGATTTTGTACAATTTGCCATCAAGAGTTGGATATTTACATTTCCATAATTTCAGGTGATGCTGGGGTACCACAACAACCCCAAAGCTACTGCTGACATGATAGACTCCGATGGATGGCTTCATACAGGAGATATTGGGTATTATGATGAAGACAGCCATTTCTACATTCAAGACAGACTTAAAGAACTCATCAAGGTCAAAGGGTTCCAAGTGAGTGCTTCTATTTTGTCTCTATAGCTTAAAGTTTTATTTGGTCTTATTGTATTTACAATTTTCAGAGAGCTAATGAACACCAAATTGTGTAACTGGTTATTAAATGTTAATAATTTAGGAAATCCTGTAAAAAAGATAAAAAATGTTTTGAACATATTAAAAATATTACAGTTTGTCACAGCTCAGGTTTACAGCAATAAGAGTAACACAGCAACAACAGAAACAGTGGTTTAGTCTGAAAATAACAATGATTATAAAAATATTTAGTGCCATAACTTTTTTGCCAGATCACCATTCCATTTTATTCATTCCGTAAATAAACTGAAACTGTAAGAGAAAAAGTCCTAAGCATAGAACATCTTTGAAGTTTTTACCCTTTCTTCTATGTTTTTCGGATATTACGGTAAAGATGGGATAAAATTTGGCCGACATGGTGGGCACTAGTTAATGTGGAATATTTGTAGGAGTAGAAACTACCAACTAAGTCAATAAATGGAACAGCTAAGTCGGTTGTTCTGTGAGAGCAATATTTCAGATGTTAAGGTTTTGTCACTAAACAAAAGCACTTATAGTTTGGGGAACAAACTTCAAGCTTGAAACTCAAACAAAAACATCTTCAATCCAGATCATAAGTTGATTTAAAATAATTTGTGTTAATCTACATGATTGGCGTTTTCGAAATAGTTTTTTGTAAATGATTGGCTAACTCATGTCGTTACTATCTAACCTATTGTTAGATAATTAATTTACAGCCCAGTGACAAATGTTATCTGAATGTTTCGACACAATATATACTATTGGTTTTTAATTAAATTTTATTTTAGATCATTAGATCATTATAGTACAAATAAAATTTACACATTGCCTACCAGCCACTCCTCTGTATGAATGGCCTTGTATTACTTGATTCTAAGAATATAACAGTCCAAATAAATTTTCATGTAAAGGAAATTTATTCTGCTTTCCGTCTTCAGGTGCCTCCTGCGGAGTTAGAGGCCGTCCTAAGAACACATACAGGGGTGGAAGACGTAGGAGTTATCGGAGTGCCAGACCCAAGAGCGGGCGAAGCCCCAGTGGCGTACATAGTGAGGACCAAGGGGGAAAACCTGTCAGAGGATCAAGTCAAGGAATTCCTCTCAGTCAAGGTTGCCAAGCACAAACAAGTCGCAAAAGTCATCTTTGTTGACTCAATCCCTAAATCAGCGGCAGGAAAAATACTTCGGAAAGAACTGAGACAGATGTACAAGGAAAGTGAAAAATAAAAACCATTTTTGTTGAGTGTCTATGTGGTGGATATTGTATAAAGATATTATAAAGTTTTTTATATCTGTTATTTAGATTTTTGTTGGAATGAATCCACGTGGATGAAATGTTGAGTATTATAACCTTAGTTTCAATAGCAGCAATATTAGACTTTATGTGAGATAATTATAAATGTTTTAACTGCACAAACTGTATGGAATAAAAGACTGTAAATACCTCAATACACACTTATTGTAAGGTTAATGTTATGCTTATTACTAAGGGTTTACATTTTATAATTTTGGTATCACTTTTATATTATTAAATGCATTTTATTCAATTATAACAATAAATGGTATTTCCTGGACAGTAAGTGTGCATTTATTATTAGTTCAATATGACAAACCTCAATATTAAAAACAATACTTCTGCCGCAGAAAACTAGCAGTCTAATTTTATTTTGTTTTACCGATTTTTTCGAAAATATTGCCTTGAACTTGTCCGATTTATTCCCTAGTTAAATAACATTCGTTTTAAGGAGCACTTATGTGTGCTGCTGCAGAAAAGACAAAAACCTTTTTGTAAAATGATTATAATATTACTATTTAAAATTTACAGTTGTTTTGGAATTTTCTGTAACCGTTAGACGTAAAAAATGAAAAGTAAAACAGTTCCGGGTGCAAGTCTTTACCAAGAGACCTACTGCTTAATATTTTGTGTCCGTGTTAGGGAAATTCACCAAAAAGGTGATAAAGTGAACACGGACGCAACAGAATTTACGTACGGCTGTTGCTTTTGTCAGCATTTTGATGGATAGCAACCTATAACTCCTTTCATCTTCTATTCGGCCGAACCTTTGTGATTAAAATTTATCTTCTCAAAACTGAAACAATGAATGACGGTCGCATTGTTTCATTTCCCATCATGTCACTGCTTATATTTGTGAACTGAAGTTAGTAACTCCAATGTCAATGAGTAGTTTGGGTTATACATATTGGTTACGTATTTCACAAGTTTAGAAATGTATTATAAACATAGCCTTAGACCATTGATAGAACTAGATAACCAATCCCCACGTTACCAGTTTAAAAATAAAAAATGAACCTTATTGAGTTAACCACTGACAGAAACCAACAACAAATCACTGATTTCTGTGGAATTTGCCAGCTGCTTTTAACTGAATACAGAATTATTTAAGCTCACATCACTTATCACAAAACAAAAACCAAAAATATAAATTGAATTTTAGAAAAAAAAAAATGCTGCGCATCACCTCTACACAGATGACATGTCTAGACTACTTAAGAATCCAAGAGTCAATGGTAGTATCCAGTAAAAAAAAAAAAAAAAACAGTATTGGATAATTATTTGTGTAACTAGTTGGCAAAGTGGTACTTTGCTGCACACTTAGAAAGTTTCTCGAGTGCAGCAAAGGCAGTTTGCATTTGCGTTACACATTATATTATTCCTACAGTTACTATAAAGCACAAAATAAAGCTATAAAGCTATTAATTAGCCTTTCAAACACTGTATAGCAGGTTTTAAGGTTAGGTTAAATCCAAACATTGGACGAAATGGGAACAGGAATGGGGGGGGGGGAGAATTGGGAAATGGGATCGTAGTGGTAATATCTTTAAGTGCTGCCAACTTATTTTCAAGTGTACGTATTAAGTGCCTAATAAAAGCACGCTGTTTTGTGTTGTTTGATTGGAATACTGGTGTGCGGCAAAAAAATGTAATTAGATGGAGCAATTAGAAACTTGCTGTGCTATAAACGGTGCAAGGAAGGCCACTTTGTCAGGTGACTGTAGGACGAAAATTATTGTTTTGTTTTATATGAAATTGCTGATATTGACAAAGAATCACAAAATATCATTGCTATTGATGAGAAGCACAGACGAACCATTATCTGAATAGTTAACTGACCAGATTGAAATAACACATATTTTATTAGTTTGATGCATTTTCAGTGACATTTACATGTAGAAACATGTCACCGGATTAACAGCAATATTTGAATTGATATTCACCATGAAAGATGAATACTGCAGGAAGAATGAAGTTAGACATTTTAAAAAATTAGGTGATATTTTATCAATTTAAAATATATTTAAAAATTCAAAACTTAAAATCCAGTAAGCACGAAATCAATAAACCAAGACAGGAGTTGAAAATGGAAGTAAATTAATGATCAATATCTGATTAAGTTAAAGATCAAAATACTGTAAATTTGAAATACCAAACATTTAAAATATGTACATGAACAAAAATTATTAATAACTAAACTAAAATAATCATTTTAATTAAGAGTTATCCACAATTAAATTTATGTAGAAGCAGGTAATCAATTTCATAAGTTGATTTCAATGACAAAGGATAAATGTGCTATCCTAATTGAAGTAAGCGATGTTGCAACCAAAGAAAGAGACTTATAATTGTATTTATTAAATAGAAGCAATTATCCTTTGATAACCCTTCTGTTGTTCCAAGACTTCAAAAACAAGACCCAGATAGGTTTAATTTTAACAAAGTAATTAGTGTTTGTATCAGATAAAGTATAAAAACCTCTATGAACACTAGACTCAAAGGATCTCATTTAATAATAGTAGTTTGTTCCTTTGAAAAAGCTCTTTCACATCATGTATTTCATAACCCATTATTAAATAAATCTGTTGTAGCTAAATTACTAAATATAAGATACAGTTTTCTAGAATATTTTTACATTTTAAATTTGTGTCTAAAATAATTGATTTGAAATGTTAAATTTCTTTAATTTATAACTAGTTGTGTTTAGTTATAAATTCAGTCTTTAAATAGATTACACTTCCTTTATTAGTAAATTCGAACTAATCTTATATCTCATAACATGTTTATACTTATAAAACTTTCAAAAAACATAGTTATTTGACCAAAAATGTTTCCATTGAAACAATTGAATTTGCAATGCGATAAACAGAAGTGCATTATATCATTGGACATCGTAAGTCGGATTTGTGGCTCCATTAAAATCGGAAACCCATTAACATAAATCCTGAACCAAACGATGCAGCAGATCATAGCATTGTCTGCTGAAATGTCAATATGTCAATGTATCAACCATTTGGTTCTGGTTTGTAAATAATAAACATGCTTCGTTTTGTAGGTAAAATTAGATAAACAATTTTGTAATAGATTGGTCTAACGTGATCTCATCTATTTATTTTCCTTGATAGCTCTTAGAGAAAATAGTACAGGTATTATATAAATAATTGATTAAACATTAGAAATGCACCGATTTCTAAGAATGCTAGCCTTCATAATGAGACTTAATATTGATTATTGATTGATTTATAAAGAAAACTATTAAAAAGCCCTTTCAATTAATAATATTTTTTACTTTATATTTACCACGTTCGGGGAACCGTCGGAAGGTCATTAACCTTACTATTTCACACAAACAGAACGTCCTAAATACTTCTTTACCTCGTTTACAGTTACAATTGTAATTTTATTGAGTGATATTACTAACTTTTGGTCACTGAAGTAGTCATTACATCTATATGGGACCGCTGAAGACTATATTTTGTTTAATTGAATGTTCTTTGGGTACACTTCCGTATCTGTTGTCAAAACAGCCGAATGAAAATATCGATCAATATATCGATTGTTCGATATATCGATTATTTTATTCGTTTGGTTGGTTTGGTTAAGTTAACCTACCTAACCAAACGATATATCGAATGAAACAATCAAACAATCAATATATCGATCGATATTTTCATTCGGTTGTTTTTGACAACAGATGAGGAAGTTTTAGGTTACAAAAAGTCGCATTAGCTCAGTTTGGCCTAGTAGCAAATTAAAATAGTGTATGGACGGAAATAAGTAATGTACAGCACACTCAAGTCAAAAATTTTCATTTTTATTAAACCTCTTGACATGGGCAATGCGTAAATGAACAATATGCAATATTTATAAATGAACGACAAAATGCGTAACAGGCATGTAAGAAATGTCCCTCTGTGTGATTTGAACTACTCATTCACATTTGAGTTTCTACCTTCAGTTCACAAATAAAAGCAGACAGATGAGTGTTATACGCGCACTGAAACCGTCAAGCATTGTTTCCCTTTTTTGACTATAAATTCCAATAACAAAGGCTTGGTCGGATAGAAAATGAAAAGATTTATAGCTTGATATCCATCAGAATGCTTACAAATCAAAGGCGGTACGTGAATTCGTAGGCCTAGTTCATTTAATCACTGTAGGATTAATTTTATTTGAGTTGTATATTTTTGTTGTTTAAAAAAAGACATCTCTAAGGCTCTTTTCTGTCAAAATTGTTTCAAGATCGAGTACGGAATATGGTTGGGTCTGTTTTGTAAGATAGTTGTTTCGACTTTCATAAACTTTCTGTGGCCTTTGCATGCGTTGGTTTTTCTACATATTTACTCAGCTGTCTATAAGAAGTGACTATGCGTAAGAAAAAACCTTTAACAACGCTAAGACAATGGCACTATGTCACATCATACAATTGTTTATGTTGTCACACATTTTGTTATTTTGTCAAAACAAGATTTTTTGTAAGTTTCGGAATATTCTTCCTCTTCAGGGAACGCCATCTAGAAGGCCATTCCACCATTTGTCATCTTCACCGCATATTGAAGGGAAACCAACCGCACCGGCGAAGTCTGCGAGGTTTTACCTGGCTAAGGTAAGTATTGGATAGTTTTTTGTAATCATTTTCTTTCTTTTCATTTCAATTAATTTCACGAGTGAACTTGTTCAGCTCTTTGTTTATAAAATATAACGCACATAAATTGAAAGGTAAAACTGTTGGAGAAATAAGAAAGAACTTAACTTCTGAAAAGCTAAAATGTAACAAAACTGAATTTATTTAGTGACTAGTCTCGTTTTTTGGTTTTCTAAATAAATATTGAAATTTGCATAGCAACATAACAGCTGGTAATCATTTAACAAACTTTAGACAGTTATTTAGAAAATGATTAAACAAGTTGATATCGTACGGAACGGAGAGGCCAAATGATTACATTTATTATTTTGATTATATATCGTCACCAGCATAGCAACCCATAAGGCCCATGTACATTTCATTTTCATTTTTGTAACTATCTTTGAGCATATTTAATGTATTAAGGGGTTATGCACATTTACAGGTAAATATCTTTCTAACAGATTGCCCCTGCAATGTACACGTGCTGAGAAAAAAAGGTTTCAAGTTTCAAGAAACATGCTTGCCTATTAATACAGAGGACTCAATAAACACAACTATAAATCAAATAAATTTTTATGTAATTGCTGCTTGTAACAAATGTTTAAACAAATTAATTCCACATGAAAAATGCACGTATCGATGTAATTTCAGAGTTTAAGGGTTTTCCGAGTTCATAATCATAATCATGTAGTACAACGCAGTACTGCTAGGAGTAGGCGGGATATAATATCAAGCCTTCCTCCTCAATAAGTTCATCAAATACTTGAGATGCTGAGCTGAAATTTCATACAGCCATTAAGGCCTCCAGTTAACTGTGTTGTGTTTCCACTCATGAAATGCCTTTCTCGTTCACTCTTGTAAAAATATATACATTAAGGGTGAAAGCTACCATCAAGAATATATATTTCACCATCACGCATGGTAAAACGATACGCTCTCTCTTTACTGTAAATTGAGGTGAGCGAGCTGGACTAGTGTTAGAGCGCGGGACTTCAGTCTCTGAGGTCCCATGTTCAAATCCCGCCAAATCACCAATGTAGTTCATCCAAGGTCTAGCTTGAAGTAATGTGAAAAACAATTTAAGGCTCGTGCCTAGCGTCCTATGACAAAACAACTAATAAATTGAGACTTTTGGAGTAAAATTGGTTCACAGTTACCTAGTAAGGTCACGTCACAGGCACCTTATCTCTGATTGTATGCCTAACGATGGAAAGATAACGAGTTTCATAACTGTGGTTCTCAGTTTACCTTGGTGACCTACAATCATCGTGATCGTAGTTTGCGGGAAGTTGGTGTGCTCTGGAAAATGTGTCAGGGAAATTAAAAGATGTCCATAAGCCACATAGTCTTAATACATCAATAACTGCGGTAGGATATCAATCTAAACAAACACTACTACTTAAGTGCAAACAAAGCAGTATTTTTAAATTTGCCTTAAATTGATGATTTTTGGAGTGAGAAATCTTTATTGTACATGGTTAAAGTATTAATTGTAGATTATTTTAAATACACATTATTGGTACTGTGTTACCTAGTGCATGCCAGTTTTTTAGGAGTTTTAAAGTAAATATTGTTGTTTTCTTATATTAAATGTGTTTTTAAAGTTTTTACCATAAAAAGTATGGTTTTTTTTTTACTTTCTCCACCTTACATAGTGGGTATATGGAAGAAGTATTGTTTTCGTTAAACATTTTGAGTTTGAGTTTCGGATGGAAATGTACGTTTTGAAATGAAATAAAGAACAAATTACAATTTAAAATAATAGTTGTTAAGCGCAACAACGCGCGCCGGGTAACTGCTAGTTGTAATATAATGATTAAATAGGTAGTATTAAACCAGGCTTTAATACAACTCCCCACAGATCCAGCACTATGAGGCTCATTTGCCTGTTGGTCTTGGTGGCCGAGCTGAGGAGGGTGACGAGTCAAGACTCTACCAAACAATACACAGAAGAGGAGGGTAGAAAGTACATTAACGAGATCCAAGAATCCGACAGCATCTGGGCAAACAAACTGGCCAATGCAGGGTGGGATTACAATAGCAACCTAACAGACTACAACTTGGATAAACAGGTACCCATGCCATGTAGTTAACAATGTATATTATGGCATCAAAGACGAAATAGTGGTTTGGGTTTGAATTTTTTGGAAGATTCACATTCCAATAATCAAGGAACATAACCTTGACAAAGAATATCAAGGAAACAAATAATAGGTTCCATATGCTCACACTTGTCTATGTCAGCAATAGAAGAATCACTAGGCACTACCATCTATTAGAACCTTTTGCAATATATGTACCGAAAGTACAGGTCTTGGCGTTGAAAACATTTAGTTTTGTGGTCTCATAAATGAAGCACAGTAACTATACATTGTCTTAATCAATTCTCATTACGGGAATGATTGAAAGAAACCATTCTGACTTTACAAGAAAAATGCAATTTATAATTTGTACAGTAAAACTATATTAATTATTCGTTCACTCAAATGTCACTGGACTCATGACAATGTTATGATACATATTGAAAATGTTACAGATGAAGCTATCCGCAGAATACGCAGTGATTGAAAGAAAGCAGTGGGAAGAAGTGATCAAGTACGACTGGAAATCATTCAAAGATCCTAGCCTTAAGAGGATGTTTAAGTTGTACTCGAAATTGGGAACTGCTGCACTGCCGGAAGAAGAAAGGTCCCGGGTATGGTATACTTATGCTTTAGACTTTAGACCATAGACATCGTATTTTTCTTAACATTAAACTGTTACTCTTTTAACAGTAAAGGCTGCTTCTAAACTTTATCCTTGTCTCTCATGTATTTTTTAATAAGTAAAAAAGATAATGAAAAAAATTAAATTGTTGGTCATAGTATTTATAACTTATTACTTTATTTATTATTACTTTTATTTATTACTTTATTTATAACTTTGTCAGGATAATCTGGATGAAGAACCGAAAAGGCTCTAAGAAATTAAAATTAGTCCAATATTAGAAAAGATTTTGTTATTTTCTATATATATTTAAATATATATACAGTGTGTCCCGGAACTCTCTACCAATATTTTAGGGCATTGCTCCTGGGTAAGAAACATACCTAAATATCATATTTAAATTGTCCGGAAGTCCTTAGTTACTCACACAGCCGCCATTTTTTTTTTCAGTTATAAATCTTTTTCTAAAGAATGGTTAAACATACGAAATGGAAACTTTGCACAAACATTTATGACAACTAGACAAAGCTACACAAAAATTATGAAGATTTTTCAAATTCATAAAACAAAATGGCGACCATTTAAAATTTTGTTTCTTAAATAACTCAAAAACCGTTGATTTTATAAAAAAATTTAATGGCCGCCATTTTGTTAAATGAGTTTGAAAAATCGTCATAATTTTTTGGTAGCTTTGTCTAGTTTTCATAAAGGTTTGTGCAAAGTTTCCATTTAGTATATTTAACCATTCTTTAGAAAAAATTAATAACTGAAAAAAACTAAATGGCGGCTGTGTGAGTAACTAAGGACTTCCGGACAATTTAAATATGATATTTAGGTATGTTTCTTACCCAGGAGCAATGCCCTAAAATATTGGTAGAGAGTTCCGGGACACCCTGTATATATATATTATTTGCATTGTTTAGTTTGTTAGTTAGGAATGGAACAAATAAAATCCAATGTACCCATCCCAAATTTAGTAAAATGCCGAAGTCAGTTTAATAGATTTTCCTAAGGATTTCTGCAGATGCTAATGATATTAAAAAGTAAGGTATGAAGACTTTTTGGTCAGCCGCTCTTTTGCACAGAACATATTTAGCAAAATAAGATAAGAACATACTTGAGTTGCGAACAAAATATATTAACCACACATAAAACAATAAAACAGTTAGGTTTTAAAACTACTAGACCTGTCTAATTTATGTTTACAAGACTTAATGTGGTTTCTAATTATTGTTTTCTTGATACTTTGAACAAATCATTATCCAAAGGCCACCTTGTATCAATTTAAAAGTACTTGTGCAGTTTTATACATTTCATTGAGATATCAATTACAGTAAATCAATTTTAGTTGGAAAAAGTCGTCGCTGACATGTCTAACACGTACGCTACAGCCAAGCTGAGGGAATGGCCTGGACCAGGGAGGGGAAACCAAAACAAGCCAGAAAATCTAACGATATCGCTCGAACCAGGTAAATTACTGATTGACTACTAAATAAATGCACACAAGGAAAAAAACAACTTTTGTGTTAATCAATCCCTATTATTGCTAATTTTTAAACTATAAGTCAATTTTTTGTGTTATTTAGATTTTGTAGTAGAATATAGTACAAAAGTTAACACAATGTTATTATAGTAAGTGGGTAATAAATTAAAAAAGCATTTTGTCAGGTTATCCCCCTATCACTTTTACATGACGAAGCCAACGTAGCAATATTAAGGTACAACTTAAGGTTGTATCCATGTAACCCAATTTTGGAGGGGAAAATAGGAAGGTTAGATTTGGTTTCACACTTATAAGAACCAAGAAAATTAATCCAATACCAAACAAGTACGTAATTAAAAGTGCTAAAAGTCACTCACAAAAACTAATAAACCCTTGATGCAGTAATGAAGATGAATTGAATATGCACAATCAAACTTATCGGTGTGTTTCAGATTTAGTGAAAATCTTCAAGGACGTCAACAGCCCCTGCAAGCTGCAGTACTACTGGGAGGGATGGCACACCTCAGTCGGAAGGCAAGTCAAGGATCAGTTTAAGGAATACGTGGATCTGTCTAACAAAGCTGCAAAATTGAATGGCAAGTTTACACATTGAAATGGGATACTGAAATAGGTTTTGACATTGAAATAGGATACTTAAGTAGGAATTTTATCCATCTGCCTGTGGCCGGGGTTTTACTTAAAGATAACATTGTGGAATGCATATCTTATAAATAGTACGATTACTATTAAATCGGTACTTTGGTATTATACTGACCACACAGAAAAATTGACTTCCAAAAACTTACCTTACCTAAAACATAGTCCACCTTTAGGTTAGGTTAGGTTGGGTTATTATTATTTGGTGTGGTCGGTATATTACCAAAGTACCGTTAAATCTATTTACCATTTCAATTTTCATAAATTAACAGTTGACGGTGACAAAGATTTAGTAACAATGAATTGCCTACATAGTTTGACTTGATGATACAAAATTGCGTTAAGTAAATTAATTAAAGTTAATTAAGACGATTAAATCTCGTGTATAAATCAGTATTAGACAACAGAAGACTTTCATTGGCTAAACTATATATCTTGCATAGCAAAAGCTCCTTTCGTCTTACATTCACTTTCCATCATGTAAACATTATTTTACCATTCTCAGATTACCCGGATAATGCAGCATCATGGAACGAAGATTTTGAAATGGACGATTTTGACGGCGAAATAAAAAGGTTGTACAACCAAATCCTTCCGTTGTACAAAGAACTTCATGCTTATGTCAGACGTAAGCTGATGAAACGCTACAACACAGCTCAACATAAGTTGATCGAGAAGCATGGGTGTCTGCCTGCGCATATCTTAGGTAAGTTTAAGTGTTTAATTTGATCTAATTTGTGTGTGTTTTAGGAGGTTGGTGGCCTCTTTTAACTTACCATTTACTTTCTATTAACATAGGCCTCGGGCTTAAGCGTAGAACGTATCCAGCAAAGCAGGAATTTGTGCTCCATCGCGCTATGGACCAAACCAAGGTCTTATACAATCATAAACATAAAATTGTTATTAATCGTAAAACTGATTTAATAAAAAAAATGGATTCATATTAGCAAAAAAAGTAACTATTTAAAGACGTAATTGTACTGAATACTCCTTATTCTTTTGTAAAAACTGTTGTTTCGTACTACAAAATAAATAAATAAAAATTACTATTGGGATGGATACAAATTTACTTCAATTTTCCATATTTTTTATATAACATTTTCCTTTACATAATAGGGCATGGAAGTATATTTTTAATAACTATATAATATTGTATGATGTTAAAAGGAAACCTTTGGGGACAAGAATGGCAAGATACGTCAAAACTTACAATTCCTTACAAAGGAAAATCATCCGTTGATGTGACAGCCAATATGGTAGCTCAGGTAATACAACATTGTTATTGTGTAGTGTTACAAGTATACAATCACATATGTAGGGATATTTTTGTCCAGATAATGATCTTATAAATATTTCTTTAACGTTTTTATACATTTTAAATACACTTATTCCATATTCTAAATTCTAGGATTTTCAAAAAAGACAACACAAAACTACTAGGTTACTAGTTCATCGTTGAATTGACGGATATTAATGGATTTAATCATACGAACATTCTAGAAATTACCATCGTAAATGATTACATTTACTTATTAGTGATTAACATTTTGTATATTTTATTTATGCATTCAGCTGCCTTCATCTGCATGGCCTCACAATTTTTGAAGAAAGTTGGTTAATAATTCATGACTGACAGTGCAGTCAAAAAATTGGATTGAAAATATTTTTTTCCAATAATTAGTTATTTGACGAGTGTAAATTTATTTGGGTAAAATGTTTAATAAATTGATTACAATTTTTTGTTTCCTATTGGAACTTACATTTTTCAGAAATACACTCCGTTAAAAATGTATAAAATGGCGGAAGAGTTTTTTACGTCCATAAACATGAGTGCAATGACAGATACATTTTGGAAAAAGTCCATCATAGAGAAACCGACCGACCGTGATATGGTGTGTCACGCTTCTGCATGGGACTTTTCTAATGGAGATGACTTCAGGTAACATTGGATGTTGAAAAGACCCGTGTTTTTGGCCTAAATATGACTGAAGAACGGATGAAAAATGGAGTAAGACGCCTTGACAGGTTTTTACATGTTTTAAAGAAACCCTTCATGATGTGTTCATGATGATTCGTTTGTGCTAAGCCAAGCTTCAAAATCCTACAAAATAGGGAAATATGCTAAAAGTATAAATTTGCTGGATATACAGTGTAATATGCTTGTATTAATTGTATTCATCATGAATTTATAGTGAATTTAAAACCAAACATAGTTGTACTTTATTACTTGTATGTTGAATACTTTGAAATCAAACCTTGTTTCATTGGTCTATATACTACAAAAGTTCTAAGAGAATTCGGGGATCATTTCCATTGTCTTTCAAAATAATGTATTTCAATGTAATGTTTTGTAAATGGATAGGGAATATTAATTAAAAAAAACAAATACCAGACGTAAAAAATCTGCGGAAAACATTTTACAGAATGTGTGTTGCTACCCTCAAAAAATGATGGATGTGTTGAAAGAAAATGATAATTTATCAACACCCTTCCAATTCATCCTCATCATTCTAAGCATGTCTTTTTCTGTAATTTTAATGTACAGTCGAACAGTAAATGGCAGACATTTTGATACATTACAAAGTCTATATTGTAAAATAATCTAATGACAAATGATAAAAATTACGTACTCAAGAATGAAAATGTGTTTGTAAAATAATAATTAAATATTTTCAGGATTAAAATGTGCACGGAAGTTAATTTCAATGACTTAAAAACCGTTCATCACGAAATGGGTCATATAGAGTATTACCAGCAGTACAAGGATCAGAAGTTTGTGTTCCAACAAGGCGCTAACTCAGGTATGGGGATTTAAGTATACTAGATATAAAACAAATGTTCTTGGGAGTTTAAATTGGGTAAATCATACGAGTTTCAGGGATCAAGAGTAATAAAGCTAACATTTTTGCAAAATGTCTCCCATTTTACAATATAAAATACACAACACGAAGATGTCTAGAGGTTTTTAACCTCCAAACGAAAGTCATTTGAAATGCCTCTCTGTAGTTCTTAATCATGAACCCAAACCTCAATTATGATTGCCACTTAAAAATTACTACCTAGTAATTAGTGTGTAAGTTTAAATTTTATGAGTTCAGTAATTAAATACAAAGAGTTTGAAATAGTTTTAAAACTAAACAACATTTATTACCTTGCCATTTTTCATCAAAGAATTTTCTTAAGTTATATCCATTGTGTTTTAGTCAACTACAACTACAATATATACAAGTCCCAAACTTAGATTTAGTGAATTTTTTTTACCAGACTGGGAGAACCCGTGCAAAGAACTAGTTTGAATTAATTCTTTGTATTGAGTGTTTTCCCAAACTAACTAATTTATGCATATTTCATTTACAAGGTTTTCACGAAGCCGTTGGAGACACAATAACACTCTCAGTGTCAACTCCTGAACACCTGATGAAGGTCGGTCTATTGGATTCAAAGACGTACAAGGAAGACAAAAAGTCCGAGATGAACGCCCTGTTTCTAATGGCATTGGAGAAAGTGGCGTTTTTACCTTTTGCAATGGTTTTGGACTTATGGAGGTGGGAAATATTCAGAGGAAAGGTCACCCCTGACCAGTACAACTGTCGCTACTGGCAACTGAGGTGAGCACTGATATTAAATACTATGATGAAAAGAATACATTATCTTGAAAAAAAAGTCAAAATTAATCTGTAGGCTTTAAAAATCATCGCTATCGACGTATAGAAGCTAAATTAGATTTAATTAAATAAGCCAATTCGTCCCCAAAGTGCGTATTTTAAAGGAATAATTATGAGAGGTTAAGACATTGATACAATCAGCCGGTTCGTAAGCGAAGACCATTTGCCAAATTCCGGGAGATCAAGTACATCTGTGCTCAGTTATTAGTTAGAGATGGATTTCTCCATTAAATTGTGATTGTGGAATTGCAATAAGTACACAAATCTTTCACTGCCAGCACTCCGCTTATTTTAGTTCAATATTTTCCAAACATAAAATCTTTGAGATAAAAAGCTCTCTCCTAGCTTTTGTATGAACTTAATGGCAAATATTTTATTTTTATTACTACACAATAAAAACTTTGAGATGTCTTTGAGATGAGATCTTGGATGTGTTGATGCCGTTAAAGAAAATATTAACAATATTTAAAATAACAGAAACAATATTTAGGAATATAAATTCTAGACAAACTTTCACTTAGTAAGTTCACCTGTATTAACTTAACCCTTCCTATTTCACCTCTTAATTTTACGCTTATCCCACCTTCCATGATTATAACACATTGCCACCCTGAAAAACATTCAATTTAGTTTAGTTACCCCTTTGAATTTAAACAATAACAGCAGCAAATTCTTTAAAAAAACGTTTTTCACTTTTTAAACTGTAAAAACATCCGGGCATATACGAAACAAGACTTACTAGTGAGTGACTTTATAAAACACCATCCGTCTTTAATAATAATTTTATCTTACAGGCAAGAGCTGCAAGGAATCGTCCCTCCTGTTGATCGTAGCAAGGAAGACTTCGACGCTGGGGCTAAATATCATGTTATTGCTGATGTTCCTTACATTCGGTAAATCATTTTTGTATTTATATCAGTGAATAATTTACTGTATTTCTATATAGTGAATTATCCACAAACCTAAATCCATTTAAAAAATAGGGGGATTTGATACAGTAGTAGCTAATAACAAACATTGGCTGTAAAAACTACATTCATGTTTTGAGGGTTGAGAACCAGTTAAATTAACAGTATACTGTATCCACAAAATAAAATAAATACTGGAAAAGTCCTCTTAGGGTTCATTCTATGGTTTAAATTCTAGAGGAAGAATCCCTGAAAGATATTGTGCTTTTTAAATATTAATATTGCAAGTTGTAAATGTATTTTCCAGCTACTTCGTGTCGTTCGTGATACAATTCCAGTTTCATGAAGCTCTATGTATCAAAGCCGGACAGTACGATCCCAACAATCCATCAACAAAGCCTCTACACCATTGTGATATTTATCAAAGCAAGGAAGCTGGAAATATATTTAAGTGAGTATATTAATGTCCCTTACTAGTACCATTGACTATTTCTAGTACTCATTCTAAGGGGAGCGAGCTGGTCTAGAGGTAGAGTGCGGGACTTCGGTCCCTGACGTCGCGGGTTCAAATCTTCCCAAACCACCAATGGATTTTACCTAAGCGATGAGCGCAACCATAGGTCCTGAAGTAATGCAATTTCTGAGACATGCACTTTCGGAGTCATGCCTTTCGAAGCATTGCCTGGATAGATAAACCCGATTCATAAAATAACAATGTTATGTCTACGTTGTATTTAAATTTCAATCTCACCAGGTATCCTCCTTTAAGTCTAACTTGTTTGAAAAGTATTTAATTATTTATTTTCCAGAAAAATGCTTGCAATGGGTGGTTCCAAGCCACCCCAAGATGCGTTCGAAGTTCTCACTGGCCAAAGGGACATGGACGCTGGGGCTTTGCTGAGATACTTCGCACCCCTTCATAAGTGGTTAGAGGAGGAAAACAAACGGGCTGGAGTAAAAGTTGGCTGGAGCACCGACCATAAAAGTATGAAATTAATTTTAAACAATAATGAAAAGTACATAGGCTAACTTTACATTAGATACAATCCAACATTTTTCAAAGGTGGAAAACAGCTGGAGTGAAAGTTGGTATAAACATGGACCAACAAAAGAATAAACCTTACTAAGAACTTGTATAATCTCAGTACGTTAGTTGTATATTTATTATATTATATTATTAGTTTTGATGATTAATCATAATCATCAACGATCTTTTATAAGGGGATAGTATCGAAAGTATATCATTTTTATTTACTTTGAACGTATAGTGTATTCAGCTATAATAAGGTAAAACGAAACATTGCCATATTAACCAATGTTATTGTTAAATTTTTCAAGCAACATTGTTATTTTTTTATATCCAAGTAACTAATCATTTTTAGGCAGTAAATTAGTGTAGAGCCAGAGTTCTTCTCGTAGCTACAATTTTGATGGTTTAGAGGTGACATCGTTACTTCTGCTGTACATTGATTTTATTGAGATAATACATAAAAATCCTGTTAGTTATACAGTCAGCAAAACCATCCAAACAATGACGGAAGTAAGTTGAAGCTACGATAAAAATTACAAGTATATGGAAACAGAAAAACACACCATATTCTTTAGAAAAGTCATTAAAAACAATTTCACCTTAAAATCACTATCATTATGAAAATGAATCACTGTGAAATAGGTGTTTCCACATTACCAATTTGGACTGATAGGGATAATGTCTTTATCACGTCATCTTTAATTTACTAAGGCATTCGCATGTTGCTATATTTTATGTTTCAACATGTTTTATGTTTCAGTAAAATGCAACGGAGATGGTGAAGTAAAAGCAAGACCTGCCAATCCTAACTGCCGCTATGACTTCACATAATCACTCAACTCTGAAGATGGCAGCATAATTTAAATTTGTGAAATTAAAGACAGTTTATTTTTATGAACAACCTGGAAAACTTTTTTGTAGCTATAACAACCTTAATGGTAGTAGTTAACGTTCTGTGTAAAATTAGTTGAGTAATAAAAATGACTTCCGTTTTAAACCGATAGTCCAAACCCAAAACGTTTGATGATTACACAAAGAAAAGTGTTAAACTGCCTAGGTATAAGCTTTGACTAATCCAATAGTCAATGGTATAAGTGAGCGCCCCTCCTCAATGTCTTATAAAAATATTCAATGTGGTATGATAATTCTAAAATATATTTTTACTTTTACGAATCAGTGAATTGGACACAAAGAAATACGATAATCAATTATGCTTCTGGGGGCATATATATTTATATGTATAGCTTTTTTAGTTTCTGTTGTCTGAAAAAAGTGAGTAGTTTTATTTAATTAAGCACAATGTTTTATTTTAAGTCCCATTTCTATTTTTTTTAGTTGCAGCTCTAACAGCAGATAATTAAACTTTTATTAAATACATATATGAGTACATGTATAAATTGGTATTTTCACTATAGGAAGAATTGAAAAAAGTACTTTGATATGTTTAACCCTTATTAGATATGTTCTAATGTATTGTGCAACATGCAGATAATACTATTAAAAACTCAATTAAACCAGAAATTACACCCATTTGCTGTGACCTAGAAACAAACATGCTCAAATGACTGACAGCTGCGATGAAGAATGTAATTGTATGAAAACAACGTTTGTAAATATGAATGGAAGCTACTAAATGTTACACTGATGGTGTTATGTTCGTTCGGTTTATCTCATTGAGCGTTTAAAAGCGTTCCTTTCAAACACAATGTTCAAAATTAATTTGTTAGTAACAGCCATTAAAATTATAATTTAATTTTTTTTCTGTAAAAATAGTTCTCGTAATTGAAGTTGCATGACGTTCTTTTTAGTTTAATAAAGTCAAGTACATATTTGATCAACCTGCAACCATTGCTGATGGAATATTTAAAATACGTTTTCTTTTCAACAAAATATTGATCTCTGAGTAATTTATTAAAAGAAAATTGATAAACTCAAAAAAATATTTGGGTTTAAGTCTTGGTCAGTTTTTGAATATGCGGTTAGAAAAAACATTCAGGATCAAAATATAATAATATAAAATATAATAAGACACCTCGATGACCAATCAAAGGTCTACACCAAACTAACACTCTCAAACACATCAAAGCAAACTATTAATGGCTTGAAATTATCGTACGCACTTAAACATAAATAAAATCTTAGCATACAACCAAATAAAAATTGTTACCTTCAAAATTACAGCATATAGGCCTATTGTTGGACATACGAACGTTTCATCCTACTAGTCGTACGCTTATTCTGCGCGTAACGGGATGAGTGAACGTGGGCGCAACAATGGTCTTCCACCTTCATTTTTTTTTTTTTTTTTTTTTTTTTTTTAGTAGCACCTATCCTACTTACCGGTGTCACTGGTGAACACAATCAACAACAATCTTAAGTTCTCGTCCATTAATAATGGTAATGTACGTAATGGATTTCCAACAGTTATCGATGGGAGGTAAATCCATCGTTCCTGTACAACACGTCTTTTGATTAAATGAAGCCTATTACCTTATTTGTTATGACGCCTATAATAAACAATACCCCCGCCGCAGCAAACCTGCCGACTAAGCGAATTTCCATTTGTCTGAATTGATTTTCAGTTAAATATATTTAAATAACATTAGGTTTAACGAGTACCTAGGTTTGCTGCTACAAGGAAACTAATAAAGTGTGTTTTTGAGTAAAATATTGATAGCTTAGTACAAAATAAATAAATTTGCCAAGTTTGATCAAAATATATCCATAAACAAGCAAACTACAACATTTGACAATATTCTCCATAAGAATAACATGGGAATTTTAAATTTACAATTTTTTTAATTTTCTCCGTTACTAATAATCGAACAAAAATACTTTTATATACTAAATTATTTGTTTTTTTAAGCTCTTTAAAAAGGTTTAAAGAGAAATCGGGAAATTTTGTGTTTTGAGGGTCAAAAGTGAGAAAAACCCATTTTTACCCCATAAAACCCCCCGTAAAGCCCCGTTCTCATGGTTCGATCGTGCTGGTTCGCGAACTCATTCAAGTTTATCCCGCTTTACACCTATAAACCAAATTTCATCAAAATCGGACAAAAATTACTCAAGTTATCGCGTTCACGGAAGTATATATATATACATATATAAAAATTTGAACGAATGGTGTTTTTGGCCTCTGGGGACATAAAAATGAAAAAGTAAATCGGTCCCGGGTCTAGGTCTTACCGTGCCACCTACGGTAATAGCTACTTCCCTATAGGGAAATTCGCTAAAACTAAGCCAAACTTAACTAATCTAACTTAACCTAATTGCCACAGCTCGGTGTAAAGTCTTCTTAAAAATATCGTATGGCTTATAATGATATATAACACATACTAACGATAGCGCTATAATATAACCTAAAAATGATAAAAATCCAATATATGTTTATCTAACTAATGAATCTAAATGCCATAAACGGTTCCCACACTCTGCACTGCTTGCCTTTACCACTTCCATTGCCACTACCTACGTGGACCTGTTTCCCTCCCTTCCCTCAGCATTTTAGTATTGCGTGTACATTAATCTAACTGCCACAAACTTCCTACTAGCGACTGGACCTCAAATCGTTATGATTGACCATTTTGCTATGGACTGACCCTCATGTATTCTTATGCTACAAGCAGTAACAGTTTGGAAGACTGCTTGTATTGCAGATATAACAATACTAACCAGCAACTGCTTTGTGTTCCTTAAATAGAGTTTGTATTATTGCAATTAGCTACAAATATTAATCATTTACACTTTATATAGTGGACTCGCCTTTTGCCTCGTTAGGCTTTAGGTCCCCCTTTTTATTTGAGCCAGGATGGGAAAGTGCCAAGAGATTTTCTTTTTGCGGTAAATTTTCTGGGTTGAATATCAATGATATGCAGTTGCAAAATATTTGATATAGGTGTTGTTTATTTTATTATTTATGAAGGAAATTAATTAAGTCTTGACATGTTAAAGGAACCGATGCGGACTTGCTGCTCTTATAATTGAAGTTAACTAGGGCATTAACTGTAGAACTATCTAAATCCTATATAGTAAATACCAATATTGCAAGCATCAATGATCATGTACCAGTGAGCCAGGTATGCAATCAACATGCTATACATCAGATTGAACTGATTGTTCATAGAACAATATGTATGGTATGTGACTGGAATGCCTTTATTAAAACTGTATGGCAACTAGTACTAGGTTTAGTTTTACATTGCAAGTATAATACGTTTAAAAACGTTTACTAAAATATTAAAATTCAAAATAGTTTGTTTATACCACGGATATTAGAAAATTAACGGTTTGAGTTGTAAACATAAACAATTACGTCACTGGCCAGAAAGTAAATATTTTTGCATTACTATTTTAAATAGAACCGTCCTAACACGTTATATATCCATTTGTTACGATTATTTCAAAAGTATATTATTCGGGCCGGTGACGTTATTTGTTATATTTATGATCCGTACAGTTTCTGGTCAAATATTTGCCGTTTACCCTCTATGGGTCAGATATGTAGCGAAATATTTTTTTTTACTTTCTGGATAAAACCATCAAATTTGGCCTCATGTTAAATGCCATGTTAAACGAGAAAAAAAGTGTACGTTTTTGAAGGAATAAACTCCTAAAACTAGCTTTGAATACAAGCAGTGTTAAAAATTTTTAGACATTCTCCCAAATAAACAGTTATTTAAGGTTTATGAACTTTACGTATTCCTTACTCTATCTGTGAAAAAAATAAACACAGACAACCCACACTTGTGTAAGGATTTCCATAGAGATAGCTTTCGAGTTGAAACATGCAGAGTGGAAACAGCTTGTGACATTTGTCGCTTTACATTTAAGGACCTACGTAGAGTATAGTGGTGAATATAATAAAAGTGTATATTAAGAATGTAAACCTGAAGTAAATTTAACTCAGCTTTTTGTTTGTTGTATTGAGTAATTTTAACTTAAGTAATTTGTTGTGT